ATAAACCAATATTTATTTACTAATCTATGAACAAGACATATACTGGGTTCCAAAAAGAAAACAAATATCTTAATTCTTTTTTACTATAGAATGTTTTTTTTTTCAACAAAGAAGTAAATGAGGAACACTTTAATGCCTATATAATAGGTATTTATTTTGTATAATGAAAAATCAAAGTTTGATGACTTGGCATGACCACTTAAAATATATTAACTAAAATAAAAACATACAATGTTAAAATAATAGTTTAACCTACTCGCAATCATTTTAAGTATGTCAAAAATAAATCTTTATAGAAAAAAATTGTTTTAACAATTTGTTGCACTTCAACACATAAGAAATACTATACAAAGCCACAAAACATTTTTACAGTTTAAATGTACACACATGTAAGACAAATTAAAGAATGTATACATAGATTTTTATCACTATGCTTTGTATGTAGGTTTGAGTTTAAATACATGTCAATGGCATAGCATAAATAACTTATCAATTCATAGTTAATAACAGTAGAGTATCAAGAGCCTGAATGGAGTTTGCTAAAAGACAAGCTTCTTTAATCTAATTTGGAATTTTAAAGGTAAATAGCCACCTGCACGTTCACACAATATTCCATACCATGTAGACAAATTAACTTAATTATTATTTGCAGAATTATAATAATAAATTAGATATGGGTCAGTTTCAATTTAACCATAACAAATCAATTCCATTTGAGTTCCACCCATTCCGAAAAATTAAGTTGGCCTACCATTAAAATATTTAAATGGTACACATTACATGTTCAGGCTTGCTTTATTAAAACTTTACAATAATAAAGGTTTTTCCAGCATTTTAAAACAAACAACAACAAAACAAAATACAAAATTAACATTGGATTGATTTATTATTACTAGTTACTGTATTACTAGTTATTATTACCATTGAAACTGTCCAGTGTCCAGTGGTCGAAAATCGACCAAAAATATGTAATGTACACACATTGACTATTGTATACTGAAGTAGACATCCCATCTATATGGGTCTGACTTAGGGGAGGTACGAATGAGGCATTTAGTTCAAAATTCCTCCGTGAACAGCGCTGTAGTAGAGAGCACTTTGGCAATGAAGGTTTACTAATCGCAAAAATAGTTCTGTTCATAAAATAAAATTATAAATGTCTCAAATTCAATTTTAATATTTTTTAATTATAAAATTAAACTATCATAACCTAACCGAACTAACCAAACTTGCTGATAAAGAAATAATATAACAAAAGTTTAGTAATCGGAAAAATAATTCTGTTTATTAAATAAAACTAGAATTTGCTCAATTAAAATTTTGTAATGACTTTATAATAAAATTAAACTGTAATAACCGAACCAAACCAACCAAACTTGCTGATAATAAAAAAATCTTGGACAAAAAGTTAATGTTACCAGCAGGATCCGAACCCGGGACCTACAGTATTTCAGCCCGGCACGCTAACCACTAGGCCACCGAGGCCGATGGCTACCGACCGTTTTGTTACGGTAATGGCGTTCCGTCAGCTAATAAGAAGCCCACAGCTGTCATCGTAGCCTCTTCTATACCTCCCCTGAGTAAATACCCATCTATATGGACCAGCTGTCGCATTTTTTTATACAAAAAAACCTGCAGTTATGTGAGCTAATAACAGAATGCATGTCTAAAATTATATTTTCTACCTTATTTTTTTGTTGCTGAAAAAGTTGATGGGTCATAAGAGTTGCCATGATCATAATAAGTCATTCCAAAATTTGACTTGGTAAAAACATTGTTTATTTGACAAAAAATAGTCATTTAGATCAGCGCAATCTGTTGGTGGCTCACATCAACTACGATGAATTTAATCTTCTGTATCCAATAGTCAATGATTTAATAAAAAAAAACTGGCGACAACTTTAACATGGGGATAAACGTCTAGTTGTAATACAAAGGTACAGGCTTCTCTTTTTTTATCCCACACCGTAAATAAAACATGTGATTCTAATTTCTTCCATTTGTTTTGATTTTCTGTTTATATTTCCTTGTAATTTTCGTCACTAGCATGGCAACCCATAAAGCCCACAAGCGTCTAGGCAGCCAGTGCAACTCCGAGGATCGTGGATCAGAACATCCCCCACCACCCATGTCGGACAAAAAGTTAGTGCTACCAGCGGGATTCGAACCCGGCACCTTTCGATTATCAGCCCGACACGCTATCCACTACACCACCAAGGCTCATGACTTGGCTCCGTATCGTTGCGGTAATGGTTGACGTCACGCCATCGGCACGGAGCGGTGGTGGGGGGTTTCCGATCTGATCCATGATCCTCGGAGTTGCACTGGCTGCCTAGACGCTTATATAAAGACCATGTTATATTTTTTAAATTTCAAATTAATTTTTCGTGCTTATATTTGAGCCTATTTTAATTTTTAAAGGGATTCTGCACATCTACAGGAAAATATCTTTTCAACAGTATGCATAGTTTTTCCCTGTGATGCACACGAGCTGAGAAAAAAGTTTTTAAAGAAACATGCTTGCCTATTAATATATAGATAGATTTTATGAAGAGCTTTGGCATAAACAATGAAATTGACCATATATGAATATTAGAATTTTTCTCATGAAGCTATTGCCAGTAATTAAGTTACAGTATTCTGCAGTATCAGAGGTATTGTTACCAACATCTGCAAACTATTGTGTTGTCAGCAGTAGTACCAACTGATGAAATTGATGACTAGTAGAACTCTGCTTAACAGATGATCATTATGACACACTAATGTCACTTATGTATAAATTGTTATTTATAGCCTTACATGTATTCCTTTGAATTCAAATAATAATTTGCACAAACATCAAATATAGTCCACACTAAAAATTAATTTTTTTGTTGACTAAAGGAATAAAAACACAAAATAATTCTGTCGATTATTCTAGCTAAAAAAGAGAGGGGGTTTCAGACAATTTATGTAGGAATTAACCGTATTGATCGATTCTAATTTCTGGTTTCTAGGCTCAGAATTCAGAACCAGTTTTTGAAACTGACCTATTCCTAATTAAAGTATAGTAACACAACTACATCAAACCTCCTTTTGTAAAAAAATATTCCATTCATCTCCAGGATTGATTAAATGACATAAATAAGGTTGCTGACCTCTTATTAATCAATCATATTTATCGTGGATGACTGATAATTTTCCACTGATAGCGACTAATCATATACACAGGCTTCCAGCCCATGTAGGCTTATTTCCCAATGTTTTGTATTGAACATTGCTTTCGGTGAATTATTTCTAGTTTATAAGTACATTTTTACTTTTTTGCATTAGTAAGTAAGTTTCTATTTTTTGTTCACTGGAAGTGGATGTTCATGATTTTTATTGTATTACTTTTTGTTGGAAATAAAATTTATTTTGATTTGACTAATTTCAAGTTTTCAGTCCTATTTTGAAACCCTATTCATCGTCAAAAATAATCTTTCAGCACTTGCAGTTGTCAACAAATACCTACTTTCTTTATACATAACATACACACTAGAGGTGTGCGATGCATCGAAATTCCGATTCGATTCAATTTAGTGGTGATCAAAAAACGATTCGATTCATGAGGGATTCAGTATCCATATACGAAAAACGTCTGCAGAAAGTCAACGCAATACCCGCAATACAGGAGCGCGTTGATGTTGCGTTTCCTTTACGAAGGCGTTCTTATTTAATTAATTTGTTGCTTTAAAATATTGCTTTAATTGTTTTATAATTTTTTTTTTATATTGCAAATGATGAGAAGTTTTGTTTAGTGTAAGCAGTGTGAGACATGTTTTACTACTGTAATAGCTAAAACAAGTCACTCCAAAATCATTCTAAAAATAAATACAGGTCTGAAAAATTGTTATTTGATACTTGATGTTTTAGACTGATAAATTTGGTATTTTTCTTGTCTGCTATGTATTCCTTGTAGTTTGTAGGTCTGATTCTATCCTCTCATTTTTCAATTTGAACCAATTGAAAGTTTCAATATAAATCTTGCAAATGTTTTTATTTGTTTACACAAAAACATATCTTTATTTGTAAAATCAATATTATAAAATAGGTAACATGCTTAGCAATATAAATCTGCAAGTAAAACTTATGAAATAGGCAAGTAAAGCAGCTCACTGACATTTCCAGCAATACATGTTCTTCTAATTTGATTGAAAATAAATTTTTTTTGTTTTTTTCATCTAAAATATATTTTATATGTATGAATAGGCCTAGTACCACATAAAAAAAAATTGCATTACACAAATGTGGTAAATTTTAATTAGCCAATTGTTACTTCACTCCATTGACAAGTATGAATAGAAAAATGCCGCATTGCTTCAAATCGAGTTGCATCGATTCAAATCGAAAACCTTTTGTTGCTTTGCACACCCCTAATACACACAAACAAAAAACATTTAAATTTAAAAACACACGAGGACGGCCAAGGATAAAACTGTACTCCAAGTGCTTTGATGGTGGTTTGATGTGAGCGTAGGTAGCCGATGACGGCTTGATGACATTGATCTTGGGAGAGAGGTGTCAGCTGTTTATATCTTTTATTGTTCCATATGATGTTTTGAATGAGAAGTTAAATTTTGGCTCAAACATTCTATTTGACAGAGTAGCAAAACTAAAATACAATAGAAGAGATAAAAGCTCATAACCCTCCCACAAGGTCAACGTCAACGTCGTCAAGCTGTCATCGGGTAAAATACGCTCATATCAAACTCCGCAGTCTTTGGCTGGCCGCGCGTGTTTGTAAATTTAAATGTTTTTTGTTTGTATGTTTGTTATGCATAAAGTATTTTTTGACAACGACAAGTGCTGAAAGATTATGTTTGACGATGAAAAGGATTTGAAAATGGGGTTGAAACCTTGAAACTAGTCATCCACGAGAAATCATGGGGTGGATTGGCAATAGGTCAGTAACCTTTTTTTTTTTGTATTTCAGTAGTTCTAGCAGAAGATTGTATGTGCATCCAAACACACATAAGAGATTAAACTTTTCAAGAATAACGTTTACTTTTAAATCATACAGAGTCAAGTGTTTGGCCCTCTACTGTTGATACAACAGCTCTGGTGATATTTGAATACAAAATTCATAAAATAAACTTTCAATAAATAAATTAAACCAAGTTTCATAACTAGAAAGAAAACTTTAAAACTCATTAACGGTAACACTAAACTGATATGTTTTTAAAATATCACCAATTCAGCACAAACTTAAATTCAAGTTATTATGTAAAGCAAATATTTTCTAAAATTATAATACATTGATTGATTTACACACATAGAAATGAATGCTTGTACACTAGGTGGGCTCCTCGTGTGCTATTTTCTGTTGCAAGGCTGCTACAAGTGCTACTGTTGTAGTTTGTAGTCGCTCTAGCCAGTCCACCTCTCCACTCCCACTCCCACTCCCACTCCCACTCCCACTCCCACTAGGTAAGCCACTCCCACCTCCCTCCTCTACGATGTTGTCTTTCTCCTTTGAGCAACTCGCTTCACTCCCACCACTACAGCTAGGTTCACTGGGGATACAACTCTTTTCCTCAGGCGTCTCTTCTTTATCTTTTTTAGCTTGATCTTCTTCATTTGTTTTTCGTCTTTTACTAGGAGATTCATCTGAAAAATAAACATTTTAAAGTACAGGTTATTAATTTAATAAATTAACCTCAAGGTTCATGGCCATACTGGTACTAATTTTCCTAACAGCATTGGCCTAAAGCAGGTTTGCACAATGTTGTACCTACTGACACAGAAAACATACTACTATAACCCAACCGCATGGTTTTCTGTGCTACTGATGATGTCGACATCGCTTCCTCCATTTCACAGTATTTTTTGCACTATTGATCATTGAAGTAGTTTTACAATAATGAGAATGAAATGCAACAATTTAATCAAACTTAAAATAAAATAAACTTCAATATCTTTCAAAAACTGTGTGTGTATATTTGATACCTGTCAAGTTGTCCTTGATCTTGGACAGTAGTTTGTCCAGTATGGGAGGCAGATCCGGAGGAGGTACCACAGGCAGTTGCACACTGTAGACTAGAGACAACGCTCGTAGGTCTCCGTGCAGCTTGTACGCAGCTGTGGTCAGGTTGGCAGTGTCAAGTGATTTGCCTAGTGTGTGTACCAGAGTCTCCATCAACTGACACGTCTGGTCAGACAGCACTTGTGGAGCTACCTGTGACACAAGGACATGAGGGTATGTACCTAGCCTTCAGTGCAAGAGGGGCGCGGGTTCTATTCCAGGCACACTCACAAATCAGATGGGTTTGGACGGTTTTGTAAAGTGTTTGGGTACCTCTAATACCTTCTTTAAAAATGTCTCAGGCTTAGACAATTATAATTATAGCCAAGGTGCCCTTAAGAAGTCCATGTAAAACCATCTTACAGGCTTTTCAAGTTTCAACATTTTACGAACTGTATAATTTAGAAGCAGTATTTCGGGTATTTAACAACTTGTACATTTTCAAAGAAAGTCACACAATATATATATACTAGACACAATATATATATACATGCGGCTCAATGAGCCACATAGTATGAAACATAACGCCGAGGAAAACTTTATGCTTAAATTCAAGTAATTGTGTAGCTACATCTTAGAGTTGTTTAAACACTTGTTAGAAACTAATTTTAAATATCTCTGTTTGCGTCAAGGTTCACCTACATTATTTCTGCTCTCAGTTTTAATTGAAAACTTATAATGAATGCTAAATCTGCGATCTGCTTCAATTCGAGTTAACATGTTGCAACAAAGTTTTTCAAGCATTGAGAATCGAAGAAAACTGTTGCCTTAGGCCTACTGATAACCTGTGTTTAGTAATTTAAGTTGGGTCATTTTATTTCTTTGATTTGAGACATCCCCCTAATCAAACAAATTTTCTTCGTGGATACCCTGAAAAGTGAGGTGATATCAACCATTTCATGTGCTCCATTTATTGTTAACTGGACTGTCGTAATCTGCTTTGAATAGATTAAAGAACCAACACCATTGAAAGTTGGTTAACGTATTTTATCGTGTTGTCTGTCAGTCTCACGTTTTTCAGTGGAGTTTCTCTAAATACCTGTCCCAACGTTTTGAAAATATGGATTCATTTGTCGAAATAGGTTGGATAGCTCTTGTAGCTATAAGATTTGGATAGCAATTTTCGAATTCTCTTTTTGAACAGCGTATATTATTTGCCTTTCCTAAATCATAAAAATAAGCTTGACCGTAACAACTCGATCGTTGAATACATAAACACTGATTCCTTCACTTATGTTTGGTCTAATATTGCCACTAAAACTTTCAATAGCAAATGAGTTGTTGAAACTTCTTATTTTTGACTTTAAATGTAGGGCCGGATTTAGCATTTTTGCGCCCCTAGGCCCAAATAATTTTCCGCCCCCTAGTCTGGTCACAGTTACTTTCCTTCAAACCTTTAAAACTATCATGCCCATAGGCCTAAGTTAAGTGCTTGAATAAAACTCCTCGTCAGATTCAATCCAAGTTCTTTTTTTTATAATTGACTCGTTTAGCCTTAACAAAATGCCATCTTAAACACTTTTAGCAATTTTGTGCTTTTAATAAATGATCACGTTTGGGGCCGTGGGACTGATACAAAACAACTTAAAACCACGGAGCATTCCTGCAAAAAAAAAACATAGCCATTGATTCCAATTCCAGGCCCAAAAAACATGAACTCCATACTGTAGCCTATACGTGATACCATAGATTAAACACTCCTTTATAGATTTGTCATAATTTTGGATTAGCTGAAAACAATTCTTGTTATTTAAGGAGTATATTTTAACCATGTTTAAACCTAGTCTATCCAAAATAAAACGATCTAATCATAAAAAATAGTTTGTCTCCTGTTTATATTACAAGAAATTAAAATACACACCATAGAACTAACCCTAAAATAAGGAAACAAAATTACGTCAAAACTAACGTCCAGTGTCACCAACATGAACTATACATGAAAAAATTTTGAACAATGTCATAATTAAGAAGTCGACTTGAGTTTATGTTTTATCTATGGTTATATTTAATTTATGGTCGTACTGCAATCTAGGTTATATTTCCAAAGCAAAACAGAGCTATATCCCAGCCAACCATACCGATCCTTCCCGAAAATTACTAATGGTGCTTTGAAGGGTATTGAATTTTTCTAATATCTAATGCAAACTGAGATGCATACAGGCCTAATGTTTTTTCGTTAATTTTAAATGTAAATTCATCGTTGTTTTAATATTCAACACAACATATTACATATATATTTTAACTTGATCCTGCAGATAGATTAGTTAATAACTTTTGTTTTGAGAGGTGAGAGTGGTAACAATGTCTAGCACCCTTGCGCCCCTAATCACTCTGATCAGTAGTGCAGTGCCGAGAGCCCGAGCCTGAGCCAGCATAGTGGCCCAGTGCAGTGGCAACGCGATGCGTACCCATTGGGCGCTCGTCAACGTCAAAATCCTTACAGTCTACTCCCGTATAACCAATGTTCGTTACCATTTTGTAACGAAATTGATGCATAATTCTGAAAAATAGTTTAAATTTCCTAACAATTATTTCTTCTTATGAATTTCAGAATCACAATGTTTTACTAGGCAGAGTTTTTTTTATCAACTATGACTATTTATTTTTATTTTTAGATATAAAAAAAATCCTCTCGGCCGTGCGCCCTCTGGGACCTTGCGCCCATAGGCCCGGGCCTACCGGGCCTATTGGGAAATCCGGCCCTGTTTAAATGTCTGGATTGTGTTGGTAAATTCAGTCAATAAACCTTGTATAAGTTTTTCCGGGGAACTGGCAACATAACCTAGAAGTAAACAATCCATTTGCGTTTTTTCTCAATTGAAGTAGAGCGAGTAATACAAAAGTTTACAATAAAAACATAAGGTCCGCCAAGATTTGGTATAATCTTACTACTTGAACTCATCATAGTCAAGGCATTAACATAGTTTATACTAAATGTTTTGAAATATCTTGTTTTGTCTGTGTCAGAAGTAAACATTTCTTGCATGCATTCATTTGATCTGACATTAGGCAAGTTTACTTTACCACCGTGACAACACTATGTGCTTCGTATATTTTTTCACTTCCAAAGTGAGTTGCATAGCAGAACCATCGATGTATAGCAGAACTGGCAAATATTATTCATATCACCAAGTGCATGTGTATCTGGATGGGTGTCTGTTAGACCAGGCCTCTCGTTTTGTACTCTCCTCGTACGCATAAGATATCTTATTATTAATTGTCTCCTACTCACGTTTTAAATATTTCTTCTTTGAACTTGAGTCATTTTCTGTTCTTCCTACAAAACTGATTACCGGTTTAACGTGGTCTTAACCTACTCAATATTATAAACATTAATATTTACTCCCAAAAAGCTAAGGAGTTTCTTTTTATAAACAGCTGTTTTTTGTTTTTAAATTTGTTCTGTATAATTCTTATGGGGAAAACCCGACCTTTGAGAGGGTCTCACGCCCTTAAGGGTGGGAATTTTAAAATTCTAAAACCTATTGCAAATCTACATATTGAGACGAATCTGTTGACACCTTAAACGTTGAAAATGGTCTACAAATAAGGGAGGAGCTGCGTTAACAAAAAACAGCTTCACGTATTATATATATATATATAGACATAACACTAGAATAAGCACTTAATTGAGCCCACTAGCCATAGTGCTATTTGAAGCATCACCTTGATGATATATTGTACCAAAATTATATATCCTAATTCTATTTACTTATAATTGCGAAGATAATAAATAGAATAGTTTGCATGACATGAATTGCCAAATTTGAAAATCCTAGGTCGTATACTTTTTTAGATATATAGATCATCAGTCAGTCAGTGGTATTTGCCTTTTAAAAGGATGCATTGCACAACGTTCAAAGGCCAAGACGTCCAATGTATAAGTCAGTGTCACGACGTCCAAATTATCATTTTTGAGCTCTCTTACGACGTCACTTATTAAATTTAAATGTAGGGAGACAGCTCAAAAACTATATTTTGGAAGTTTTGACACTGACTTATATCATTGGACGTCGTGCAACACTCCCTTTTATAAGTATTAATAATACTTTATTGATAAAAATTGTTCTTGCCATTTTAAGATTGAAGACATTCTGCATACAAACATATATATAAAAAAAACAGTAAAGATGTGTACGTTTGCATACTTGTATTGGTACTTGAGTACACTATGTTTTAAAGAAAATTAAGCATTGGTATTATTTGGGGAAAAATAATTTTGCAGTCTACGTAAGCTACAAAATTTGTGTAAAACTATTACATAACACTCTAGGTACTACACATTTAAAGCATATGTGATTCATAAACAACTCCAAAAAACAAGAACAACAAGTGTCAATAATAAATAACATACCTTGGGGAAGTATGTAGCCAGGAAGTCATATATAATGTTGATGTTTAGTGACAGGCGTTCGTCTAACAGCACAGACTCTACATAATCAGCAAAGTAGTTGCTGTTGGTCAACATGTTGATGTACTTCCGATCCACATTCTGAAAACACACAAATACAGTCACATACGGCGAACAAGCCTATTGGGCCGCTATTAGGGGAATTGTCTTTTCACCAAGAATTTCTTAATGGCATTTATCATATTATGTTGCACCAGGATACAACAAACTTTTCTCTTCATTGAAATTGATTGGGGGCTTTAAAAATAAGAAAAGTGTCAAATTCATTACAAAATGAAATTAATATTACAGTTGTACATGTAATATTTTGGCGTTCTGTGATCGGGAAAACATTATGACAGTAAAAGCTTGGCCCAAGCACGAAATTCTGACTTAGTGCTTTTTCTTATAAGCTAGGCTCAGTTCAGCACAAAATTAAGCCGCTCTTACACCTCTAACTTTTGGTCAAAAATATACTGACACCAGCATAGGGATTAAACATAATGTTTGGATAGAGTTTCACCCACAATGATAAAATATCAACATTTTTAGAACAAGCAAATTTTTTTTACTATATGTGGTTTAGGTACCTGTGTTATTGGTTATCACATATGGTTATATAAAAAACAAGTTTGAATTAATATGTAACCATCATCCGGACTAGAACATCACTTCATTCATATGAAGGTTTTTACATGTTCTTATACACATATTTATAAAACAAACACTCAACATACATGACTAAAATAGCTTACAATACAACCCGCTGGGAGTTTAGAGTTTTGGTCTAGAATTTAGTTTATAGCATTATTTAAGTTTTTTTTTAGGAGTAAATTTACCTGAGCTTGATGGATGTCGAGCCACAGTTTGGGGAAGAAGGTGAAATGCAATGGTACAGCCTCAAAACCCACCATTGCACTGAGGTTGACTAGATTCTCAGTCATGCAGTTGTTGTTGATGGCCAGACGACACATGACGTCCACAAAGTTGTGGTAAGGAGCATAGAACTGGTGAAGAGCTTGGTCATACTCCGGATCTACACCCTGCACACAAAACACCTTTTACACTGTTCAAAGTTTTTTTATAATTGGACTCTTTTTGCTACAGGATCATAATCAAAATTAACTAGCAAAATAAAGCTAGGGTAAGTAAATGAGCGTGGGTAGAAAGGACACATTTGGCCTTAAATACATTGACGATGATTTACTAATGCAGCTTGTCAGTTGTCACTGCATTTTGCTGCGGGATAATCGTACTGCTAACCCACTGGCTCTCAAGTAGTACGTAGAATCTAGCCAAGAAGACCTAGTGACGTGTGCTTACAGTGGCGATTGACCCGTTGGACCAACAGTTGGCTAAGGTGTTGCACTGACGAGAGTAGCGTTGAGGTCTTTCTAAATCTACGGGTTCAAATCCCATATGTGTGCAATCCATACTGAACTTACTAATGTGGCTGGAGTGGAAGGTCCTTGCCACCTTAAACAAACTTGCTTTTATTTGGCTTGCACCTTAAATAAATTGTGTCTGACTTAGGTGGAAGTTGACAGCATTAACAAGTTTAATAAGGATTGCACACAACACCTGTTTTCCTTATTTTTTACATAAATATAAATGAGGTGGAGAGAACAGATTTTTTTCTTTTGGCTTTTATTTTGGTTCAAAATCTACATATCATGTTGATATAGGTACAAATATGATAATAAAAGGATTTAACCTTAACAAATCATTAATCGAGAATTTAAAAACATATATTCCGGCGTCAATGGGTTAAACTACCTGTGGGATAATTTTAATATGTTACTTTTAAAATGTAATAAAAAGACAAATTTTGTAGTGATAGTATTTAGATATGGAACTGTACAATATGGAACTGAAATATTCTTCTAAGGCCAAATGGGAACTAACAATATAATAGTAATCCTTGACACTACCTCATAATGGTAACATTTTGTGAATTGTTTACTTTTACAAGTTAGCTTCCAAAATGGCTTCCATCTTATTTATGAAATAATGAAATGAAATAATGAATTTATTTCCTCCAATAAAAACACACAATGGATACAAAATTGGCTTGGAAATTAACTGGCCACTTTATCCAGTACATGTGGCCAGTGTACAAAGAAACTTATCAGTAACTTATCAGTGAGTCCAGTCTTCCACTTAACTGATTACAAGGTCGCTGCTGCCTGTGACGATTTCATTTTCTTAAAAATTAAAAACTTAACTTTATCTTGTTATGTGACTAAAATAAAAGTATCTTTTTATTCATCATTGCCTCCTGGATTGATTATTGACTATATAACTAGGTTAACATACCTTACGTCTTCAATCGTAACATTAGTCTATGGCAACTTGTTTCGAAACATCAAGGTTTCATTGTCGAGCATCTTGCCTCTTAAAAATATTGGGACATCTTCACCGTGCATTCATTTTTGTAAATAGTTTGTGTCCGTGTTCATGTTTATCTGTTAAATGTACTATAATCACGATGACAAGATGTCCCAATATTTTTAAGAGGCAAGAGGCTCGACAATGAAACCTTGATGTTTCGAAACTAGTCGCCATAGACTAATTTTAGGATTGAAGACGTAAGGTATGTTAATCTATTTATGTTTCCATCTTATACTACTATAAACAAACTGCTGAATTCAGCATCCTGATCCTTTACATATTGTGTTTCAAGTTTGGGAGAGCTGATGTCCTTGATTCTATCTGATAATTTGCCAATATGGCAATGGCAACTTACCTTGGCGACATCAATCTGATTGTGAGGGACGGCCATCTGCACCATCGGCCGCAGAGGTCTTGCGCTGCCTTTGAGACTAAGGGAGGGCAGTTTGTGTCCACGGCGGGGGAAGTAAGGTCCCATGGGCATGGCATTGTTGTTGTCTTGGAACGCAGCATGGCAGTGGAGCAGCACAGGGACCAGCACGCCCAGCACATCTGTTGGTAGCAGCAGCACCAGCTCCTTCAGTAGGTCTACAACATCACACAACCTGCAGACTAAGCCAATTTCCATTTCCCTGTTTCGATTTTCACTGAAATATTTCCTAAAACATCTTAGCATTATTCCATATCTGAAATGACATATTAATGAATCTGAACGGATGGTGTTTTCCCTTTGCACGGAAAAAGTAAATTGGTCCTGAATAGGCCTATACTTAGGTCTTACCCTGAGATAATGTTTATAGCTTATTCCCTAAAGGGTGAATTCGCCAAAAAAAGAGACCAATGAGGCCACGAAGCAATATTTAATTAATCTGCAGGTAATTGAACTGAAGCAGTACCTGAAGTATTAAGTACACTGGAATCCTTAGTTATCTCACATTTCCCTATAATCAAGTGATTTTTTATTTTTGGTAGAATTTTACATTATGTTTATACGATTCAAAGAAATTGTTCAAATCTCAAAACATCTACTTTCATCAAGCTCTTTAGGCCAGTTGAATAACAGATAAGACTGCTGCTGTTCTTTACACTGTAAATGTTTATTATACCATTATAACTTTAGAGATCAGATTTTTTTACATTAGTAATAAATTACAGAAAGTCAAATTATATTACAGAATAATTGATTACCTATGCATAGGTTGCGCATATCCTGAGAGTTGTAAGTGTTGAGCAATGTTACCAGTTTGCGAAGAATGTCCGACCAATCCTTACATGCAAGGAATATAGTTCTGACATCTTTGCTTTCCCTACAGGATCTTAGACACTTGACGAGGTCCACCAGGATAGTCAGCAGCTCTAGCAGGTCCCCAGTGACATGACATGCTGTTGCCTCATGGTACATCACGTGCAATGTATGGAACGACTGGAACAAATTACACAGTTCTGACATGTTTGCTCTCTCAGGGTCTTAAGACACTTGACGAGGTCCACCAGGATAGTCAGTAGCTCTAGCAGGTCGAGTGATATGACATGCTGTTGCCTCATGGTACATCACGTGCAATGTATGGAACAACTGGAACAAATTATTACACAGTTCTGACATGTTTGTTCTCTCAGAAGGATCTTAGACACTTGATGAGGTCCACCAGGATAGTCAGCAGCTCTAGCAGGTCCCCAGTGACATGACATGCTGTTGCCTCATGGTACATCACGTGCAATGTATGGAACGACTGGAACAAATTACACAGTTCTGACATGTTTGCTCTCTCAGGGTCTTAAGACACTTGACGAGGTCCACCAGGATAGTCAGTAGCTCTAGCAGGTCGAGTGATATGACATGCTGTTGCCTCATGGTACATCACGTGCAATGTATGGAACAACTGGAACAAATTATTACACAGTTCTGACATGTTTGTTCTCTCAGAAGGATCTTAGACACTTGATGAGGTCCACCAGGATAGTCAGCAGCTCTAGCAGGTCCCCAGTGACATGACATGCTGTTGCCTCATGGTACATCACGTGCAATGTATGGAACGACTGGAACAAATTACACAGTTCTGACATGTTTGCTCTCTCAGGGTCTTAAGACACTTGACGAGGTCCACCAGGATAGTCAGTAGCTCTAGCAGGTCGAGTGATATGACATGCTGTTGCCTCATGGTACATCACGTGCAATGTATGGAACAACTGGAACAAATTATTACACAGTTCTGACATGTTTGTTCTCTCAGAAGGATCTTAGACACTTGATGAGGTCCACCAGGATAGTCAGCAGCTCTAGCAGGTCCCCAGTGACATGACATGCTGTTGCCTCATGGTACATCACGTGCAATGTATGGAACGACTGGAACAAATTATTACACAGTTCTGACATGTTTGTTCTCTCAGGGTCTTAAGACACTTGACGAGGTCCACCAGGATAGTCAGCAGCTCTAGCAGGTCCCCAGTGACATGACATGCTGTTGCCTCATGGTACATCACGTGCAATGTATGGAACAACTGGAACAAATTATTACACAGTTCTGACATGTTTGTTCTCTCAGAAGGATCTTAGACACTTGACGAGGTCCACCAGGATAGTCAGCAGCTCTAGCAGGTCCCCAGTGATATGACATGCTGTTGCCTCATGGTACATCACGTGCAATGTATGGAACGACTGGAACAAATTACACAGTTCTGACATGTTTGCTCTCTCAGGGTCTTAAGACACTTGACGAGGTCCACCAGGATAGTCAGTAGCTCTAGCAGGTCGAGTGATATGACATGCTGTTGCCTCATGGTACATCACGTGCAATGTATGGAACAACTGGAACAAATTATTACATAGTTCTGACATGTTTGTTCTCTCAGAAGGATCTTAGACACTTGATGAGGTCCACCAGGATAGTCAGCAGCTCTAGCAGGTCCCCAGTGACATGACATGCTGTTGCCTCATGGTACATCACGTGCAATGTATGGAACGACTGGAACAAATTACACAGTTCTGACATGTTTACTCTCCCAGGGTCTTAGACACATGACAATGTTCAACAGATCTGAATTCTACTGAACATACTGTATATTAATTAGCATTTGAGGTTGTTGGCCTTTTCTATTACTGGTTACCCTAATTGTTAAAAGTGTAATTTACCATATGTCTCTTTTCTATTTTATTCCCAATATTATTTGCTCCAACTAAGTTACTGTATATTAAAAAAAATTGAAGGTTTAGATCAGTTGTATTACAAACTTACTGATTAATAAATAAAAAAAACTTACAGCCAGAAAATGTATAGCAGAAATATTGTTAACTTACCTCAAAGCACATTTGTAGGCCACCATTATATAGTACAAAGTGACGATCTTCATCATTCTCTACTAGTATTCTAAATGCAGAAATAAGGGTGGCCCATGACGAACGACCATCAAGGAACTATAAGACAAAATAACGGGCTATTAATATACAATCCTTAAATAACACAGTTGTTACAGAGCTCACTTCCAAACATAACAGTTACATCCTGAGAAAGATCTACTTTGGACTCAGTAGCTAATTTATATTGCATATAATAAATAATTGTCATAGGCATAAGATTTAATAATAAAATAAGGTGATAAACATAGTTAAGTAGCTAATTGAAGTTCACAAAATATAATCAAAATACCCCTGCCGCAGCAAACCTGCCGACTAAGCGAATTTCCATTTGTCTGAATTGATTTTCATTAAATCGATTTAAAAAACGTTGGTTTAATGAGTACCTAGGTTTGCTGCTACAAGGAGACTAATTAAGTGTGGTTTTTAGTAAAATATTAATAGCTTAGTATAAAATAAATAAATTTGCCAAGTTTGATAAAAATATATCCATAAACGAGCAAACTACAACATTTTACAATATTCTCGAAAATTGTAAATTTAAAATTCCCATATTATTCTTAACATGGGAATTTTAAATTTAAATTTGTTTAATTTTCTCTGTTACCAATAACCGTACAAAAACACTTTAACACACTAAATTATTTATTTTTTTAAGCTCTTTATAAAGGTCTAGAAAGAAATTGGGAAATTTTGTGTTTTGAGTGTAAAAAATAAGAAAAACCAATTTTTACCCCATAAAACCCCTCATAAAACCCAGTTTACATGGTCCGATCCTGCTGGTTCGGGAACTCATTCAAGTTTATCTCAATGATCTCCCCTTGGACCTAAAACAGCTGGGGGTCCTGGCTTTTAAAAGTAACTTAAAAAAACTTGTTAATATTGTAAAATAGTTGTATATATATTTAATATTTTTATCATATCACACAATGTCTTTTAATATAATAGTATCAGGGTGTCTAGTTTATTTCCATTATAAAATTCAAGACTAATTCCAGACTTTTCAAGACTAATTTCAGGATTTTTCAAGACTAGTTAAGAGAAATTAATGAAAAATTTTAAAATGAACAAAACAAATAAATATGAACAGTTTACAAATAGTTGAATTTTGAGAACATAATATGATTGAGTATAGATCAAAGAAAAATAAAATCAGCCTAAAAGAAAATTAAAATTCAGCTGAGTTGAATCACTTTTTTACTATCTTAAATTTAAACCAGTGGGGAACTTTGTTTTAAGTAGCCCAACTGTTGAGCCAATTAAGAATTTCTTAAGATCGGTTGGTTGCATTTAGGGTTTTGATGTGTGTTTACTTTGTGAAGGGCTTTAAGGGTATAGTAGCCTTCAAAATTTTTGTTGTGGTGAGCGGCATGATTATAGATTGGTTTTCTTTTGTCTCCATATACCATATCAAAACGATGGCCTGTCATTCGAACTCTTAAAGAGTTTGAAGTCTGGCCAATGTATTCTTTTGAACAATGTTTACACGATAGTTGATAAATCACATTGCGAGTTTCACAAGTTGATCTACAAACAATCGGAGACACCTTGTTTATCCATTGTTAAACCAACAATTGGATTGTTGTTAGATCAACTTTATATATATACATACATAAAAATTTGAACAAATGTTTTTTTTGGCCTCGAGGGACATCAAAATTAAAAAGTAAATCGGTCCCGGGCCTAGGTCTTACCGTGCCACCTACGGTAATAGCTACTTCCCTATAAAGAAATTCACTAAAATTGTATAGAACTTATAGTAAAAAGGAAAAATACTCCCGCCGCAGCAAACCTGCAGACTAAGCGAATTTCCATTAGCCTGATAGGATTTCACATTAAAATGCCTCCTTAAAAATATCATATTTATTCCCTATTTAAATAGAATTAGTTTAACGAGTACTTAGGTTTGCTGCAACAGGGAGGGTAAAAAGGTGGTTTTTTTATGTTAATAGTTTAGTAAGAAATGAATGTAATTCGATCAAAACATGTTCATAAACAAGTAAACTACAACAGTTGACTTATTCTCCATAAGAATAACATAGGGATTTTAAATTAACAATTTTTTGGAATTTTCTCTGTAACCATTAGGCGCACAATAACGCTTCAATGTACTAAATTATTTGTTTTTTTAAGCTCTACAAAATGGTTTGGAAATAAATTGTAAAATTTTGTGTTTTTAGGGTCAAAAATGGGAAAAACCTATTTTTAACCCATAAAACCCCCCATAAACCCCCCTTCCCATAGTCCGATCATGCTGGTTCGTGAACTTGTTCGAATAAATGTAGGTTTACACGTTTGTACTAAATTTCATCAAAATCGGATCATTTTTGCTCGAGTTATCGTGCTGACGGACACATATATATATATACATATATATGAATTTGAACGGATGGTGTTTTTGGCCTCTAGGGACCTCAAAACGAAAAAATAAATCGGTCCCGGGTCCAGGTCTTACCATGAGGTAATAGCTTATTCCCTATAAGGGAAATTCGCTAAAAACAAACAACTATAATGGTAGAATGATTTACAGTAAAGTAAATACAACCATTGATTTATCATTGTTAAAAAAGACAGAACATTCTTTAGTAAAAGGAGATGGTAAACAATTTTAACTTGCATCTTAAGAGAACAAATGCTTGTCAAACCAATATTTAAAAAAAAAATTTAAAAGGCAGTGGCGTATAAAAATGTAAATCTATTAACTACCTGAAGATATAGCTGCAGAGTCTGCTTGCGAAAAGCATTTATCTCCATGATTTCATGCTCTGTGCTATCTGGGTACTTGGCAGCAAACAGGGCCATCAACTTGAACAGTTCATCCACAGCCTGAAAATAAATCAGGGTTTACACAGCATTTCTCATTTGATTTCCCTGACTCTCAAAGTACTAGGTCAAATCTTTTTACTATTTCCTTCTAGAGAGCGAGCTGGTCTAGTGGTAGAGCACCGGGCTTTGGTCCCTGAGGTCCCGGGCTCAAATCCCGTAAATCACAAACATTTGTGATTTACTATTTGGAGTTTATCTATGTGATAGTGTTGCGACTCTCTAGGACTAGCCTGAAGCAATGTGTAAACAGATTCAAGTTAGAGACCAGCGTCTTCAAATGTAAAAGTAGGACATTAGTAAAAAAGAAGTAAAAACACACTTCTTTCTGAAAAAGTCCTCTATTAGGATTGAAATATAAAATAAATTTTAAACTTTTTGTCAACTACCTGGAATTATTTTTTCTTGGTAGGCCAATATACCATACCATGTAATATCGTAAAGTAATTGACGGAAGTATTAAAAGTACAACCTGTTTTTGCTTGAACAAAATAGTTCAGGGGCCATAAATATGAAATTGTAATGTTCTTTTATTATGTGTGATGGAAAGTCCCCCAAATAAAAGAAATTTACCATTACAAAAAATAAACTAGAAAGAAACAAAGAATGGATTGCCCGTACCATGGCGTACTGTGTGGGGTGTGGTGTGATGTTCTTGAATGCCCATGTGAGGTTCTGGTGATTGGCCAGCTGTCTGGTGAAGGACCGTGACTGCTGACAACACAGCCGCAGCAGACCGTAGTAGGCTGGCAACATGGCACGATTGAACAGCACCACCTCCTGGTCCTCATGGTCTGCTCTAACATACCAGAACACACAGTCAAAGATTGTACCAAAGAAAGAACTATTGGTACCTATACAACTTTTATTTATTTGGGTTAAATACAACTCTTGGAAAATATTTTAATTATTTCTTTTTTTTCCTTTTATTATATATATATATTTTACTATCATCGTGTTACATCAATGATTGACAGGTGATTTGTCATAAAACTAAAATCTATTGTAACAAAACAACAATCATAATATGGAATAGTAAAAATAATTTTCGGTCCCATATATTGTGGGGATAAATGAAATAATTTTAGTCTATGTTGCATTGGTTTCATTAATTTTTTGTATCTTGTATCAAGGTTGTGAGAGGGCTGACTCTCCATAAGTGTATCCAAGTTACTTTTGACCATCAGAGAAATACCGGGTGTTTCAAAATGACTCACCCGGTTTTAACGCTTTATAACTTTTATACTATTAAACTTACCGCTATAAAATACATATCAAACAAAAAAGCAACTCAAAGAGATTATGCCTACCAAAGACACATTATTTAATAAAATCGATCCAGCAGAACTGTAGATTTAATTGTACAAAGTTAAAAAGTTATCTCCAACATTTTTTAGCGCTAGAAATTTGGAGGTTACTTGACGTTTTTGCAAATAACTTTTAAATGGTGAGGAAATCGACGAAAGTGGAAAGTAATATTCCGAAAGAGAATAAAATTTCCTACAATCTACTATTATGCATTTTTTGAAAATACTCAAGAAAGGTACCAAAAATTGCTTAAAAATGAAAAAAAAAATTAAAATCCCCGTCTTCAATGTAGACAACAGACGAAGCAAACATTAAATTTCACACTTTTTTATTTTAAGGCAAATTTAGAATACATTTATTGAGTATTTTCAAGAAATTAATAATAGTAGGTTGTAGGGAATTTTATTACCTTCCACTTTGATCGATTTCCTCACCATTTAAAAGTTATTTGCAAAAACGTCAAGTAACCTCCAAATTTCTAGAGTTAAAAAAAGTTGGAGATTACTTTTTAACTTTGTACAATTAAATCTACAGTTCTGCTGGATCGATTTTATTAAATAATGTGTCTTTGGTAGGCATAAACTCTTTGAGTTGCTTTTTCGTTTGATGTGTATTTTATAGAGGTAAGTTTAATAGTATAAAAGTTATAAAGCGTTGAAACCGGGTGAGTCATTTTGAAACACCCGGTATAATAAATATAAGAGCTGTATAAAGTGAGAATTTTGAATTGACTGAAATATTCTTGGCAAAGTGTATCTGGAGGAACCTTGGCTATATGTCTAATCGCCCTTTTTTGAAGAATAAACACTTTTTTGCTTTAACTAGACGATCCCCATAAAATAAGTCCGTAATTCATAATTGAAGCGAAATAAGCATGATATACTGCAATTTTGTGTGTCATAATTTGTTGTATCTCTAATTACTTGCAACACAAATATAGCTGAATTAAGTCTTTTTGATAAATTTTTAATGTGAGTTTGCCAATTTAAATGCGAGTCTATTTTTATTCCTAAATAATCAACTGAATCTTGAGAAACTATCAAATTTGAGTTTGAATTTAGGGTGATCTTGTCTTTTATATTGGACGCAGAGAATTGTATCAGCTGTGTGTTGGATACATTCATGGAGAGGCAGTTGACAGTAAACCAGTCCTCAAGAGAATGGAGCTTTCTGGTGATAGTGTGATTAATGTCGACACCTTTTTGCTCTTTGCAAATGATTGCTGTCATCTACATACTGAAATATTGGCCACAGTCAAAGGCCTTGGACAAGTCACACAACACTCGGACAGTCTGCTATGCTCCATCCCAGGCCCCAGCAGTATTGTTGATCATGTCGGTTACTGCTCTTTGGGTGTTAAGGTTAGGCCGGAATTTAAATTGAGAGGGGTTCATTAGATTATTATATTCTAAATATTTAGGATTTCTATTAAATTTAGATTTAGAAAGATGTTTTTTATTTCTTCTGAAGTTTTTATCCCTTTTGTAATCCAATTTTTTTATTTTGTCTTTACTCCCTCGCAATTGAGATGTTTTGGAAAAGCCTCATTAAATGAGTTTAAGAAAGTCAAGAGAAAACTATCATAATATATATCTGGGCTTTTCACTACCCCATGCCTCCCACTAAAAATAAACTGACAATTTAACATATTATCTCTCTGATTCTGCACTATGAATTTAATCATTGTGTGCAGCAAGGTGCAAAACAAAAGGCAGGTTTGAGAAACTTTGTTTTAGTTAGCCCGACTTTTCCGTGACTTTTGGAAGCTTAAAATGAAAATCCCTTTCTTTTCAGAGACTTCCTTGACCCCTAAGTAAAATCAGTGACTTCCGTGACCGGTAGACACACTATGTATCTAATAATATTTAGAAAAGCTCAGAAATAATGATAGCTTTTAACTGGCATTACCAACACTTCATAAAGCAAATATTGTAATGGAAATGTGACATCAACTATTTGTTTGGTATTTAAATGATAGTCTTGACTTAAGGAAGTATCATGTAAGTCAAAATAAAACATGAGGAGTTTACTTACAATATATAATTAAAGGCAATGTTTTTTATGATGTGAGCGTTCTGCAGGATGAGCTGTACATTTTCTGGGCAGTCGGTACAAACATGGTACCAAAACATGAGTAAAGCCTGCTTGTTGTGATGTACGGGTATCCCAGGCTCAGACAGCTTAGGGTGAAACAGCTGCCAGAGGTCGAGAAGGTAAGGTCCAAACTGTAAACAGACCCTGAAATTGACTTGATGTATAGCCAAAAAAACAATCAAACAGAAAATTTGTTTACAGTGCATTAATGTATAAAATTTGGTATGGTACTTGATAGATAGTTCCAAAGAAGAATTAATATTAACTTTTGTGACGCTCGCGTCACAGCGGAGACGCGTCACGGTACATCAGCTGATCGCTGGAGAACTAGGGGGGGGGGGGTATGAAGCGCGGGGAGGGCGTCGGAGTCGGGTGGCGGATACCAGGGCGTGTGGACGGACTTCAATGGTCAAGGCTGGAATCGCCGAATAGATAAGTTTTCCTTAGTATAAGATATTCAAGAATATGTTATAACTTTTCAGTAAAGGGGGGGATTAAGGGGTTAGGGAACTATAATTTTATTTCAGCTTAATATGTAAATTATACTTTGAGCACACTCGTACCCATAAGGTACGAGTGGAAGTTTTCAGTGTTCTTTTCCTTATTATATTTAATTAGTTGCATTAGAAATTATTAGATCATCAAAATGGCTGTGATATGGATGTGGTTTGGCTCAGTAATTAATTTTAGATCTTTATTATTCAATTCAGAATGTCGCTAGAAACACTAGATTGATTATATTGAGCCTTAACGATCCTTATGAGTCCAGTACCGTTGCTATAAACTATAGTAATACGCTTCAATAATGGTAGCAGAGCAACATAAAACCGCATCTATATCGCAGCCAGTTCAAAATTTAACAAAAAGTTCATTTTCCTTCATCATACACGTAGGAACACGTGAGCCGGCAACACGCGACAACACGCCGGAATTCAACCAGTAAAATCGTAATCGGCAAACACGTGGTGGAGTTGAAATTCAAATTTAGTTACAAGTTACAATTAATCCAAAATGGAACTTAGTGAAAATTTGCAGAAATGAATTAAAATAAAATTTTCAATTTCAAATGTTTGCTAAATTAAAAATTAGGGTAAATGAATTTGGTGTTTTGTGATCAGGGGGCACGTACGTCAGGAATAATATAAATTGGAGTATATTTAATTAATGTATTACAGGTTTTGTTTGGGTGAATAATTGCAATGCTAGTTGAAAAAAATGTTAAAATAAAGTGAATCGATGCCTTTAGAGTAAACCTAGTTCATGTTTCAGTCTGAAGTGGCATAAGTCTGAAGATGTTAGCACGAGGAGAAAGAATAAAATTAAAAAAAAAAAACAAATAAATAAGAAAATGTAAAAAAAATGTATATATAGTGTAGACTTTAAAGGCATTAAAATTTAACGAGCATTGCGATTGTTTACTATTTCACTTCACTTTTAAGTATAATTCTAGAAGAATACTGGTTGGATTAGATGTAATGGTAATTTAGTAGTCTAATGGAATGTACTGAGGTGAAAAATATTGGCTGCTTGGCTATGTAAAAAAATTTAATTTGCAGTTGCGCAAAATTAAAAACAAAAAAATATAAATAATAATAATATTACCTTCTTCCGTTCCAAATGATTATAGTTATTTACGACGCGTTTCGTTAGCACAGTGACATCCTCAGGTATCCGCTATCGCTTTGTCTTGAATATATTAACATAAAACAGTCATTATCTTACTAATATTATAAATCTGAAAGTTTGTGTGTATGTTTGTGTGTGTGTGTGTTGCTCAATCACGCATAAACTACTGGACGGATTGGGCTGAAATTTGGCATGATGATAGATCACATTCCCGATTAACATTAAAGCATATTCTTATCTCAAAAACCCTTTCGGGCTCCGCCCCAGTGGCTCTGTAGTTCCCCACGTTAATCTTATGATTTTTCATATTTAAAAGTAATTAATGAATCTTAACATCTGTTTCAATTAAACAAGTTGGTTATGTTCTATGATGTTCAATAGCATAAAAGTTACAAGGATTACCAACAGGGTGCAGCACTATTATTATTATTTTTTTTTATGACAACAGCTAATTTCCAACCAAAAGGTGAGTGAGCGTAGCGAACGAACTTCAACCAGGACGTGAATGAGCCATGCGAATACTTATGAAGTTAAACGGGGCGAAGCCCGCGGGTACAGCTAGTTGTTAATATATTCAAGACGGAGCGATAGCGGATACCTGAGGATGTCACTGTGCTGACGAAACGAAATAACTATAATCATTTGGAACGGAAGAAGGTAATATTATTATTATTTATTAATAACTAACGTTCCAATAGTAGGAAATGAATTCTAAAAAAATATGTAGAGTGAAATTTACTTTTTACCTAGTTTTTATCCATAATATGTCTTACAAACAGTATATTTTCATCTAAAGAATATTATTACAAATTGCAAGAATATACTATATTCATTACTTATGACTATTACTACTATTTCTGATTGCTACCATGAGTTTTTCTTTGCGTGAGATGGCGAAGTAGTTGAGCAGAGTGAAGTATGCAGACAGCTTGCTAGAACCGTGCTGAGCTATCTCTGTGTAGAGACGGGCAGTCTTCAGCAGTCGCAGCAGCACCATATAGATCTGGTGTAGCACCGTGAGAGCCTCAGCAGGAAGCATCACCTCATTGTGTGGCCGAGCTGTGCGGTAACACTGGCGGAACTGTGTGCTGGGCACCAACGCCACTAACAGGTAGGCAGCAGCTGCAAACATCAACCATGAGTCATTACAGTACAAACTCATGTAAACCTGGTGTAGCACCTTGAGAGCCTCAGCAGGCAGCATCATCTAGTTGTGTGGCCGAGCTGTGCGGTAACACTGGCGGAACTGTGTGCTGGGCACCAACGCCACTAACAGGTAGGCAGCAGCTGCAAACATCAACCATGAGTCATTACAGTACAAACTCATGTAAACCTGGTGTAGCACCTTGAGAGCCTCAGCAGGCAGCATCATCTAGTTGTGTGGCCGAGCTGTGCGGTAACACTGGCGGAACTGTGTGCTGGGCACCAACGCCACTAACAGGTAGGCAGCAGCTGCAAACATCAACCATGAGTCATTACAGTACAAACTCATGTAAACCTGGTGTAGCACCTTGAGAGCCTGAGCAGGCAGCATCACCTCGTTGTGTTGCCGAGCTGTGCGGTAACACTGGCGGAACTGTGTGCTGGGCACCAACGCCACCAACAGGTAGGCAGCAGCTGCAAACATCAACCATGAGTCATTACAGTACAAACTCATGTAAACCTGGTGTAGCACCTTGAGAGCCTGAGCAGGCAGCATCACCTCGTTGTGTTGCCGAGCTGTGCGGTAACACTGGCGGAACTGTGTGCTGGGCACCAACGCCACCAACAGGTAGGCAGCAGCTGCAAACATCAACCATGAGTCATTACAGTACAAACTCATGTAAACCTGGTGTAGCACCTTGAGAGCCTGAGCAGGCAGCATCACCTCGTTGTGTTGCCGAGCTGTGCGGTAACACTGGCGGAACTGTGTGCTGGGCACCAACGCCACCAACAGGTAGGCAGCAGCTGCAAACATCAACCATGAGTCATTACAGTACAAACTCATGTAAACCTGGTGTAGCACCTTGAGAGCCTGAGCAGGCAGCATCACCTCGTTGTGTTGCCGAGCTGTGCGGTAACACTGGCGGAACTGTGTGCTGGGCACCAACGCCACCAACAGGTAGGCAGCAGCTGCAAACATCAACCATGAGTCATTACAGTACAAACTCATGTAAACCTGGTGTAGCACCTTGAGAGCCTGAGCAGGCAGCATCACCTCGTTGTGTTGCCGAGCTGTGCGGTAACACTGGCGGAACTGTGTGCTGGGCACCAACGCCACCAACAGGTAGGCAGCAGCTGCAAACATCAACCATGAGTCATTACAGTACAAACTCATGTAAACCTGGTGTAGCACCTTGAGAGCCTGAGCAGGCAGCATCACCTCGTTGTGTTGCCGAGCTGTGCGGTAACACTGGCGGAACTGTGTGCTGGGCACCAACGCCACCAACAGGTAGGCAGCAGCTGCAAACATCAACCATGAGTCATTACAGTACAACCTCATGTAAACCTGGTGTAGCACCTTGAGAGCCTGAGCAGGCAGCATCACCTCGTTGTGTTGCCGACCTGTGCGGTAACACTGGCGGAACTGTGTGCTGGGCACCAACGCCACCAACAGGTAGGCAGCCACTGCAAACCTCAACCATGAGTCATTACAGTACAACCTCATGTAAACCTGGTGTAGCACCTTGAGAGCCTGAGCAGGCAGCATCACCTCGTTGTGTTGCCGACCTGTGCGGTAACACTGGCGGAACTGTGTGCTGGGCACCAACGCCACCAACAGGTAGGCAGCCACTGCAAACCTCAACCATGAGTCATTACAGTACAACCTCATGTAAACCTGGTGTAGCACCTTGAGAGCCTCAGCAGGCAGCATCATCTAGTTGTGTGGCCGAGCTGTGCGGTAACACTGGCGGAACTGTGTGCTGGGCACCAACGCCACTAACAGGTAGGCAGCAGCTGCAAACCTCAACCATGAGTCATTACAGTACAAACTCAATTACCTCATGTAAACCTGGTGTAGCACCGTGAGAGCCTGAGCAGGCAACATTACCTCCTTGTGTGGCCGAGCTATGCGGTAACACTGGCGGAACTGTGTGCTGGGCACCAACGCCACCAACAGGTAGGCAGCAGCTGCAAACATCAACCATGAGTCATTACAGTACAACCTCATGTAAACCTGGTGTAGCACCGTGAGAGCCTCAGCAGGCAGCATCACCTCGTTGTGTGGCCAAGCTGTGCGGTAAAACTGGCGGAACCGATACTTTAGAACCTCAAGTAGACAGTTAGTTAATGTGTTATGGGACTAATGTTTTACCTGATCGGACTCGCTGGTTGTTGTGTGCCAGCAGGTAGTGCTGCAGCCAGTTGTCCAGGCCTCCCATGACCCAGTCGTGTGCTGCCTTGTTGCGAGGTACCTGCACGGCCAGCCAGTCCAGCGCACTCTGAGGTGTCACCTCCATCACCTCCAGCACTCGCTCCAACACTAGGTTGGTAAAGTTTGGCAGTCCTTGTGGTCCTACAGCTGTAGTCTCCACCAACTGGGTCAGCAGCTTGAAGAAAGGCTGGCAAAGCTGTAATGTAAATGGGTAACTTTTACCCTCCAAATCACTGAAATAATTTAGGCTAACAAATGTTATTCTCAATGGAATAAAGTTTGGTAAAATATTTTAAATTTTATTTGGAATGGTTATAATAATAATATACAGTAATAATAAGTGAGGTCAATGTTATGCATATCAACTCAGCCACAAATGACTGAGTCAAAAATGGTAGCGGTCCAAAGATTCGAAATTTCAAATTAAGGTAATCTATGAACGGCTGCCAATTTTTGGCTTGATTTTCCATTTGAGTTTAGATTTTCGGCACTGTATTTTACCAACCTTTAATTTGGTTTGCATTATCACTAAGAGTCAAAACTTTGTTCAACTTAAATTCAACGTAATAGCTTAAATCAAGTTAAATTTTACAACAAAATCATACACAATGGAAAAAAAAATTCTCAGGACAGTTAAATATTTAAAAAAAACATAATAAAGATACTTAACTTAAGATACAAAACTTGGTAAAAAGTCACTGGGTATAAAAATCATTTTAAAACATTATTCAGCGTTACCTCTTCAGGGGGGGGGGGGGCACTAGGGGTCGGAAGAAAATCTTTAATGCAAGCATAGGTTGATATGCCACAAACCCGAACAAAAATGGACAATCAGTCAAAAATGGCAGCCGTTTAAAGATTCCTTGAATTTGTATTGCAATTATACGCTACCTCCTCACGGCCCTAGCCCTCCAATTATCCGCTAGAAACCGGAAGGTAATTATTATAAATTTAAGCAATGGTTGGCATGCATATCAAATTAAAGGTCTTTATTAAATTAAATAATTCCGCAGATATAAGCACAAAAGAACTACTCAGTCAAAAATGGCAGCCATCCAAAGAATCAAAATTGAAAATTAAAGTAATCTTTGAATAGACTGCCATTTTTGAAATTTATCCAATTGAGTTTGCATTTGCGGCATCGTATTTTACTAACAAAAACCTTTAATTTGGTTTGCATATCAACCTATGATGCTTAGATTTAAGATTTTCTTAAGGTAGCGCATCACTGTATAATGTGTACAATTATTTGAATGCCCAGTGACTTTGTACAAAGTTTTGTATCTCTATCTGTATTATTTTTAAAATATTTAACTGTCCCGGGCTTTTTTCCCACCCCATATGCTGCTATGAGTTACTAGGTCAATATTTGGGTAGGCTACGAAAGAAGTTATTTATTGCCACTGTTGAAATAAATTTAATGGATTCAAGTTTTAAACATTTTGCACGAAACTGAAAATGTTTAGTGACAACAATAAATTTAAACTTATCTCAATCTTGTTAGATTTTCAGAACTCGTTTAGTGATCAAAACTTTTTTTTTTTTTAGTTTGTATATTCTATTGGGTGTTCTTACCATCCTGTATTGTGTGTTTGATTTTGGTTGACCATGTGGTAAACAAGGTTTTATCATCTGTTGTACTGTGTGGTCAAATTTTTGTTGGAGGTACGTTTTTGTTATTCCTATCCACGAACGGTCCGAGCGTGTCGGTTACGTCACGATACAACAATGAACGGCGTAAAACATATGTCCAGCGTCTTAGTTCGGGACTCGGCCACTGCCACCTCAGAGTGCTGACGTAGCGGTGGTGGGGTAGAGCAGAGACCGACCGGACAGTGAACAAGTGTTATGGCAGATGGCGTCTAGCAGGAGTTTCGTGCACACCAATCACCCCTGGGCTGTGCGTTGAATCCACTAAACGTATCCGGGGCACGCATAACTTCTATTCAAAAATCGAGTAGATAAATATTGTGATACGTAAGTACACTGTTATAGCTAGCGTATACGTTTTTTAGGGATGGGCGAGTAGTGTTTTTTTGAGTCGAGTCGAGTCGAGTCGAGTAATTAGCCCTAATACTCGAGTATCGAGTCGAGTCGAGTAGTTCACGAGAAAATCAACAATTTTATTTTACATATATTCCATCTTCATTTTTACGAACAAAGCATTTCTCAATTCACCAAAAATAGACCTGGTTAAAAACTTTTATACCATATAAAAAACACAATATGTATGTGTATCAAACTTATATTTTGGTGTTAAAGGTTTATTATTAATTGCAAAAAAATTTCAAAAATATGGAACTAAGTGTTTATTTTAAAATAGGCCTACTGTAAATGTTTGAATTTGACTAAAGCATGAGATCTAATAAAGTTTCCTCTAATTTATAAATAGGCTTATAAGTATTTATCTAAGTCATTTCTCAGTTTTTGTATTTATTTGAAATTCCATGAAATTGTCTTAGTTAACTCATTAGTTTATAATTTTTTTTAAATTACGTACCTAGCCTACATCTTGGTCTACAAATACTCTTTGTAAGGTTTTCCCTCAAGTGAGTAAAAATTAACTTCGTATATAATGACATTTTCTCACTAATTATATATCTTCAAAATTTGTTTAACTATGAAAAAGTCACCAAGTTTAGCTGAAAACATAATCAATCATAAATGAGGATATTTTTGAAATACAGAATAACTAATCAAACAACATTTTTAACACTTTTATTTCTCAACTTTTTTCCCTTGAAAATGTCAACAGTTTTTAATTTATTTTTAATAAAGATTATCACTTATAATTGTTTTAAAGAAGTCCAGATGTGTGAACTTGAAGAGCAGACAAGAGACATACGTCACTGCCACAAAAACTCTTCTCTACTGTGAATGAATGAACTGTTTATTGTGTGAAGCCCCACCCACCGTCTAACGGGACATGGGGGAGGAAAAGAGAAAGTTTGGCAGAATTTGCCCTTGTTCTAAAGCCTGGTTCACATGCCCTCCCTCACCCTCGGCCTCAGTCGCTTGCAGATTTCCATTACACAACACAAGAGTGTTAATTATTTTGAAATATGTACTGTAAATGTTTGAATTTGACTATGATGAGATCTAATAAAGTTTCCTCTAATTTATAAATAGGCTTAACTTTTTAAGTACCGTATTAATCTAAGTCATTTGTCAGTTTTTGTTTTTCTTTTTAAAAGCAATTGCAGTTATACATTAAAAAAATTACAAACATTTACAAATACATTTTGTAAGGAGAGTCTTTTCTCTAGTGAGTAAAAACGATCGTGGTCAAGGAATGAACTGTGCTAAAACAGCACATTGTCAATGTTTACAAAAGTATTTTGACTTAAACCCTGGTATTTTTTAAAGACATTGCATAATAGCCTATGTCGACGTCTGTGGAGAAAAGTATGGCAATAGATAGGTTTTACTTTTAGCCTACAATAAACTAATAAAGATTATGTTTTGGGACTAAAATCTCCAAAAGACCAAAAGAGTGCTTTTAACAAACATTTCATAGTTTTATTTAGTAACAAAAGTGTTTGACTATGTTCCCTGACTATGTTCGGCAGAGTGGATTCACTGTGAACCGGCCTGCCTGGCCCTTATGCACGACGTCACTATAACCTCCGTGTAGGGGTGTCAACAATGGATCAGAACAATCAAAGTTTTGAACCTGTCTGTAACCTAGTTTTTTATACTTAAATACTCATTATTTATAAACAAACACGTCCTACATATCGGATCTCGAATCACGATATTTATCGATACCCTTTCCACCCACAATAAAACATTAAAACAATGTCAAAGCAATCGTCATTTGCTCCATTGAAAGACGAAAGTCCATTGGCTGACATGGTAGTGCACTGACGCCTCCTGACCAATGAGAACTGTTGTTACATACTTTTATTGTCAACATTCACCAATCGTTTTAACATTACAAAATCGACACGGACTAAGGCTTATAATATTTTTCAATAAATACATTATGTTATAGTAGCACTTAAAACTTCACTAAACTCTTTAATCAGGTAGATAGTACAGATCAAAATATGGATCTACTTTTTGGCGCAATATAAAGCAAGCCTAACCATATGACGATGTTAAAGTTTAATGGTTGAATATAATTTGTCTAATGATGCGTATAATGCAGGGATTATTAAACTGAAAATTTCGATGTGTTTAGGTTATTTATTTTGTACTAAAAATAAAAATAATAAATAATACATCTAAATGTCTGACTTATTGATACAGACATTGTTTAGTGTAATTAATTTCGTGTTGGCAGGATATTAGCGCGCCGGTTGTCTCTTGAGTTGAGTCTGACATCTTGAAATGTAGATTCGTAGATTGTGTTGTGCAATGCTGAAGCTAAACAATGTCACCGGCACCGTCGCTGTTTTGAACTAGATAGTTTCTAAGTTGGCTATGAAAATTGTTAACCGTGATGACAAAACTAATACTGTAGCTATACAGTAAATAAATGTTAAAATAAAATATTTATCCCTGTCGGATGTCGGTATCATTGGAATCGACTTTTGACAATCGAGTCTTGGTACCGATACCAATGCCCAAGTATCGGTGGTATCGATGACGATAATCGAATCATCCCTTTTTACTAGTAGAGCTGTATCGTGACGTAATCGATGCATCGGGATTTTGATGCATGCTGGATCGAATCGGGATTCGATGCATCGCACTCGCACACCTCTACACCACTGCCTATCACCCAGTGTCAGCCCAGCTGTCGGCGCTGTCACTGTCGCTGTCAGTGAAATGGATGACGCAAGCGATGTCTAGGTTGCCGATTATTAGTAGGCCTAGTATGTCAATATTTAAAGGGGTTAAGTAAGGGATTAAATAAAACAAACATTTTCCTTTCTTACTATTTATTTGTCAAATATCAATGAAAATAACGAAATCGGCTTAACGTCTACTACTCGACTCGAGTCACGAGTATCTTTAACTACTCGACTCGACTGTCGAGTATTGCCAACTACTCGAGTAATTACTCGACAGTCGAGTTCTCGTCCACCCCTAACGTTTTTATTGCTATTTGTATCCACTTTGGTAAGTGAAATTACATTATTTGTTAGGTCATACTATATCGTTAAGAACTTAGACTAAAAATATTTTACCGGCCGACGCTGCGAGTGCAGTGTCGCAGTAGCCTACACCTTTTATTTTATTTATCTAAAGTGATTTTATTTATTTATCTCGAAGCCAAGAAGTGCATTGGCATATAAGCTCAGACTTATTTTATTTCGTTTATTTAATTATTTTTGGTTAACTACATTATTTTCCGTTAAGTACGAAAGGATTTATTTTTTTTAGTTGTTTATGGAAGTGACTTTTTTCACCAAGCCTAGGTGCGGGCCCCATATTTTAGATCCCATTGCAATTCGTATTTTCATTCGTATTCGCATTTTAGTTAGAATCAACTTGTTCTTTGTCAGTGCGTCGCTGTGCTGATATTGTGTTGTAGTGCGACATAGTGGTGATCAGTGTTCGGTGCGTTGGTGTGCCGTGGTGTACTCGTGTACTGGTAGATCGACGCAATAGCATCTTCCAAAGGCTGAAAAGTAGTAGTGAGCGACGGAGACAGTTTAGCGTGAGAACCCTGGACGTCTCGAGCTGTCCGAGCACAGGTGTCCGGAACAGAGGTAGGTTTAGGCTAGGTAACCCTAACCGGAACTAAACACCTCACAGTAGCCTACTAATGTTAAGTTCAAGAATTTTCATTTGTAGTAAATAGTTCATTTAAATACAATCAAAAGCAATACATTTACACTTTTTGTATAAAAAGTTTAACATTTTTATTTGATTCCAATAAAGGCTACAACAATTAAAAACACAAAATTAACAAACTAATTAGATTACTTACATCTGAAAATTTGTGAATGGCAGAGAATATCATGGCTACAATGTGTGTAGCTAATCTGTCATTCCAACGGCACAGAGAAAATATTAGGTTTCTGGTCTGATGAAGATTGATAGAGTCCTTGATTTGTTGAAAAAGGAACGGAAACCCCTGAAATATAAAACACATAACTATATTTTGCATGGAGTTGTGTGAGCTTCAGATTTTTGATCGAGCTAAGCTCAAGTCAATAAAAATCTTTTATTTATTAAAACTAAATTTTTGACATGAAATTAACTTCTTTTACTAGCATTTAAGTTATTATATCAATTGAAATAAATATAAATATTTTACAATGAACCAAATTATTTAAAAAGTACAAGATGTACAGTTTAAATTTTTATTTAAATATTTATTTTAGGAGGAATGGTAAAAAAAAAATTATATTCAGGGAAATATCTATTGAGGTTGTTAACCATATTTTAATAAGATATCGGAAAACATCGTGATTATAAACCCCTGTGATCGTGACAAAATCATGAGTATATCTGCTGGTGTTTAGACATCATCATCGTATTCTACAGACCCAGAAAAAAAATAGAACAATTCCTGCAATCGTATGGACATCATAAACATCTTCTGCGATCACAAAAGTGTCCCCCGCAATCGTAGAGAGTTTGAATTTGTCAATTGGGCCGCTTTACACGGATGTTTCCTTAATAGAATAATTATAAAGATATTTATGTTCAAATGTAAATAAATATTATCTATCTCCATAAGGATAACATGGGGACTTTAATGGTGCCTTAATGGATTTTTGTAAAAATGTTTGTTATAGCACATATGTACCAATTCCTGAGTTGTTATGGTTTATAGTGTTTTGGATGTAGTGATCAGGAGAGAGTGGTATTTACCTCACTAAGTAAGTATAGATATAGATAGGTGGATAAGTATATGAATGGATGGACAAATTTTAAATTTATTTTATAAAACTTCATCTTAAAAAAAGCTTTATAAAATTCATAGTTTAAGTTTTACAACACCAAGCTGTCCTTGATTGGAGATGAATGTTTGGTTACAACTTGGTCTGAAGGTTTACCTTGCTTCCTGCTATGACGTTGTAGTCAGTAGCGGAGAGACGGAGAGTGTGTTCAGGTCCTCTGGACTTCTCCACCAGCAGTGCTACCAACATGATCATCTTGTCTAGTGACTGGGGCTTGTATTTATCTGTAGGTAGTGGCACTACTTCTTCTTCCTCTTCCTCCTCGCTGACTACTTCCACCTGATAAAGCCATAAACATCTTTAGATATAACCTGAAATCTCCAAGGTGAAAGAAACAAATAATAGACACATTTGTAGAAATGAATATATAGGACAAAAATACTATTGTTACACTATATATTTAGCAATAATCAATTTCCTTTTTCATAGAAATTCACATTCCCTTATTTCCTATGACTCCAAACTAAAACTGTTTTGAGTATAGATTGACCCTCTGTATTATGCCTATAGCTGAATGGCAGAGAGTTACAATATTCCTCTTTCCGATTTGTTCCTTAAAGAAGTCAGTAGCTTTTCGATGTACAAAGTTGGGTCCAGGTATTCTTGATCATTGATGTTAATAAATCTTTCTGGAAAAATAACTAGGTAATCTTAGTCAGTATCAAGGATATAATCTTACTTACCCTTATGTTCAAATAACCATTTTAGATACAATACATATTTGATACATATTTTGAACAAAATTGATAAAGTTAAGCATTAAATAGTCCTCTATTTTGTTGCAATCTATTTCACTAAACAAACTATTACGTGCTGTAAATATTAATTTATAGTTATTACTTACGTAATCATGACTCTTTTGTCCCAAGTAAAAATTGACCATGGTCGAGATTGCATGGATTGAGATGAGAAATTGGCTTTCTTCTTCACCCATTTTGGCAAACTCGTAGAGAAGAGCAAAATATTCAGTGAGGTGTTTCAAATGAGGCTTAGCACCATGTTCCATCTATATGGAAGAAACATTATTGTTATTGTTTATTTAAATAATTCATGAATATTTATTCCTGACCTGCTCTCTAATCTCATAGATGTTATATTACAATTGGTTTTTTGCAATGTTTATATTTTAGGTCAAGGTCAACAGTTTATAAAGTATCATTCTGATAAGTATAGCTCTAATTAATCACCTTGGTTGTTATTCTTTTGCTAACATACAGCTTTAATTTTGGCTTTTCATCAATAATGTCTGCTAAACGTGTTCGGGGAAAGTAAATACAAAAAAAATATCCTCTAAACTAACTACTACAAAAAAACTGTTGCGATCTGATTACACAATGTTATCAGAGGTTTTTCCCCCATCCAAATTGAGGAATTTAGGTTTATAATATATTACACTTACTATTTAATAATAATAATAACATTATTTGTTTACACTATAACAAATTTACTAAAATAAAAATAAGTAATGTGTTAACAATAATTTTTAAAATCAAAGATGAAATCCCACCAGAGAAAGAAGCATACGGATGAACATAGTGACACAACTCTGGTAGCCAATCTTGTCAGGGTCTGCATCCTCCAACCCCTCATCATCAGAGTCCATCTTGAGGAACAGAGGAGCATGATGTGGCCTACACAAAACACACAACAGTTAACACTACGGATGAACATAGTGACACAACTCTGGTAGCCAATCTTGTCAGGGTCTGCATCCTCCAACCCCTCATCATCAGAGTCCATCATGAGGAACAGAGGAGCATGATGTGGCCTACACAAAACACACAACAGTTAACACTTACAGATGCACATACTGACACAACTCTGGTAGCCAATCTTGTCAGGGTCTGCATCCTCCAACCCCTCATCATCAGAGTCCATCTTGAGGAACAGAGGAGCATGATGTGGCCTACACAAAACACACAACAGTTAACACTTACAGATGAACATACTGACACAACTCTGGTAGCCAATCTTGTCAGGGTCTGCATCCTCCAACCCCTCATCATCAGAGTCCATCTTGAGGAACAGAGGAGCATGATGTGGCCTACACAAAACACACAACAGTTAACACTACGGATGAACATAGTGGCACAACTCTGGTAGCCAATCTTGTCAGGGTCTGCATCCTCCAACCCCTCATCATCAGAGTCCATCTTGAGGAACAGAGGAGCATGATGTGGCCTACACAAAACACACAACAGTTAACACTACGGATGAACATACTGACACAACTCTGGTAGCCAATCTTGTCAGGGTCTGCATCCTCCAACCCCTCATCATCAGAGTCCATCTTGAGGAACAGAGGAGCATGATGTGGCCTACACAAAACACACAACAGTTAACACTACGGATGAACATAGTGACACAACTGGGCCGATTTACCGAATAGGCACGGTAGGTTCGTGCCTAGGGCGAGAGGCAACTTTTTTGGCTGGCTGTGTTTTTTGGTGGCCCTAAAAATTTGGAAAATAAAAAAAATGTGCATGCGATTCCAGTAAATTTCTGATAATCCCTCGCGACCGCGACATTAGACATCGTAATCGTCTACCGCAATTGCATTAAAACTCTGACTATTTTCTGCAGTCGTGTGGACATAATTATCGTCTTCCATGATCGCGGCAATATATGAACATATCCCGCTCCCGTGATGAGATTATCATCGTCTACTGCGAATGAGGTAAAATTTGTATCTTTTCCCATGGTCGAGTGGTCATTATCATTGTCTTGCGCTATCTTGGTCAAATTCTGATCAACCCTCATGTCCATGAAGACATCATTATATCGACCCCAGGGTCGTTTGGACATAGTAATCGCTTCCCGCGACTGCGGCAAAATATTAATCATATCCCGCAATCATGTGGAGATCATCGTCTTCCGCGAATAATGCAAAACTCTTTTCCCGTGGTCATGTGGACATGCTATTTCCCGCAGTCGTGTGGAAATTATCATTGTCTTCCGAGATCGCAGCAATTTTCTGATCATCTCTCGCGGACATGTGTGTGTGTAGACATATTGTCTCCCGCGGTCACGGATATGTCACTGTTGTCATGCCCAATCGCAGTAAATTTAAAATTCCTGTTAGAAATACAAAATTTATGCATAATTCCTGGTTGAAAAATAGCATAGTTCCCGGATATCCCGGTTTTATCGGTCGATTGACACTCTCTTTTATATATATTGCAAAGGGGCGCTACTATTAGTTGTGTGTAGGGCACTGGCAGGGTCAAAAACTGGCCTGCTACACAAAACACACAACAATTAACACTACGAATGAACATAGTGACATCTGTATCATCTACAATTGTTCAACCAATGATCCTCAGAGTCCATCTTGAGTAACTATTTTATATATCCTTTTAATAAGATATTTTTATGAAGAGAAAACTGTTCGAGAATAATCAAGTTGTAGAATAGTTGTAAATAATTCAACTACGCCAGTTTTTGGGTAGTCTTGCCGTTTGGCCCACATTTATTCAATTCTCTTAAATATAAGTCAATTTGAAATATACCTTTTAAGTTTAAGATAAATATCTGTCATGGTATTATGAATTCTTTGGATAAAAATTCAACTCACAAAAAATAAGAATTAAATTTAAATTTGGTTTTAGTACCTTTGATTGAGTCAAACAGTGGTAACAGTGGGTTCCTTCAAACCTGAAGGGTGATGGTTTGATTCTATGCGAGATCAATTCTGGACCTAGATGCCATTAGTTATTGGGCTATCAATTAATGAGGAGATGAAACAGACATTCTAGATTAGATAGTAACAAATCTAGGGTTAGGCCTGTTCCCTTACAGAATACTTCAAATATGACAATGACATATGTATAAAACAGTACAGAAAAATGACCCTACCTCAACAGTTGAATAACATGCTGACACAACCTCTGAAACATTTGACGAACCATTTGGTTGGGACACTTGATGAGGATCTGCACTGGCCACCAGTTGTTGTGAGCCATGTGTCGCAAGAACCACTCACAAGCAGATTGTGAAGTGCTGAACTGCTTGGTCAGCAACTCCACCCACTGGACCATAGTAGGCTGCAAATATGAGCCTATAAGTATAATGTTACCAAGACCTAAAGTAATAAGCTAAATTTTCTAATGTCATTGAATCCTACATTAATTTTGCTGGAGCATGAAGTCCAGGTGTCACAATTTTCAAAAGTAAAAGCTTTATTTAGATCCCCAAAATAAAAGCTCGGTTTGGCTCAACCTGCCCAAGTTTGGCCGAACTGATCCCTCTGGCCAACTGTTGACTCGACCAGATCCAAAAATAGACCTGCAGACCTTTACCATTAACACAATGTCGAAACCAAATGTAAGCTTTAACTAAATATTCTTTGGTTGCATAGTGTCCAAGAACTAAAATGTTTTAAATAGTTTTACAGGGTACAGTGTCTAGTTTACTTGCATTTTAAAATTCAAGACTTAATTCCAGACTTTTCAAGACTAGTTTTCAACAATTACTGATGTGTCGATAAAAAAATTTAGTGATTCTCGATACTGATACCTGAAAAACCTATTCTCGATAACATAACAATTTGTTAGTTTTACCATATTTTCTAAATAATTTTGTTATACCACACCAACCCCGGTTATTATGTCCAAGTATTTATAGAGCGATAATATGATGTTTTTCAAGTAATGAAAAAAATAATGCAGAAGAAAAAAATAAATCGGCACTCAAAAACGACTTAACTGAGCGGACCGAACTGACGCAGTGTGTGGAAAAACTGCCGGAACTGAGCTGACTGACCTGAGCTGAGATAAGAGGACTGAACTGAGCGGACCCAGTGTGCGACGTGCCTAATGAATTCAACTTCCTTGTCACTGGCATAATAACATGAATATGATCAATCCAATCATTTTATTTACTGGTTAATATTTATGTACATATCAAATCATTTATAGCCAGAAAGTATTGGTAGTTTCAGTTATGAGTTTTAAATCTCAAACCAGTCAACACTTCTTGTTCGAATCTTGAAACATATCCAAAGTTTTGGTCGTTTTGAGACACAAGATTCGGTTTTGACACATCACTACTAAGTTCCAGAACAGCCGCACTTTTAAACACTTTAATGGATCATGTGAAACAGACAACTCTAGTACATTAACCACTAAAAATAAACCATATTCTTGTACCTTTTCTTTGGCGTGAATGAAGGTTTCGATAAAGAAGGTTGTAGACAACTGTGCTGCCATCTCTATCATTTCCTGGATATTATCTAGAGTTTGGGGAACTTTCCCACATATTTGTGACATGAACCTGTAAACAAAATTGATTTCCATTCAACATTGCCATCACTTAATGAAAATTGCTGTGAAATGTAGTACTATTTTGAGCAAATATTCATTTAAAAAAATGTTAACTAGACACAATACCATTTTATATGAAATTAAGCATGACCCCTCAGTTTGTTGCTCTGTAGGTTGGAAAACTGTACTCTGGATTTTCAAGCTTTAAATTATTACAAGACATTCGATTTTTTTAGTTAATAAAACATTTAAAAATGAGTAGGCCTAATACAATATGTACAATTTACAGATTTTTCTGCACATGTATCAACTGTCAAATGTTACTTACTCTTACTCCCATGGCCATGGATACCCTAGGTGGTATTTGGCCTTGCCAAATAAATGTAATCTACACTAAACGTTATGCTAAAAGAATTGTTAGTAAGCAAGAGATACTAGCTACAGGGACGTATTTAAAATCGATGAGGCCTCCGGCAGCTCTCACCAGAGAGGCGCCTCTATATTCTGATTCTATGAAGGTTGGAACTTTAGAAATACATTTGCATCAACTAGATGTATTGATCTTTTGATTAAAAAAATGAAAAATCCAATCGGCAAAAAAACCTAGGACACTAAGGTAATAAATAAGTCTGTGTTAGTGGTGTCGTGATTTACAATGATTAATAAAATAATATGTTTTGAAGGGAAAGGGCTTATTGCCTGAGAATAGGGGAGAGAAAGGATAGGATAAGCAGGCTTACCTTAAGAGATGTAGGCATCCCACTTAATTCACTACAGAACACAGAAGAAATCACAAAATAAAACGCGGTTGGATATTTCGAGGCCAGTGGCCTCCAAATATTTATTTTTGTGATTTCTTCTGTGTTCTGTAGTGAATGAAGTGGGATGCCTACATCTCTTAGGATAAGCCTGTTTATCCTATCCTTTCTAGCCCCTATGATAAAACAATATAATTAACATTTTAAGGATTTATTGTATGGACAAAATGTACAACATCAAAAGAAAGAAAAAGGTAAACCAGAAAGTAAATAATTAGTTAAAAATAACTTTTTAATTTCTTTCGGGTTGATTAAAAAATGTTGACCTTTGGACATCGGATCAAGATAGGGTGGTTTTTGAACGAATTATTTCAAATATATTAATTTTAATTGATATACTATAATTGGATAATACAAAATCTGTAACCGCAGCCGAACTGTAAGGGTCTTCTGTGGTCACAGTAAAATCATGGACATCTGTTACGGTCGCGGAGCGATCGTGAACATATTCTACGTTCAAGGCAAAATAGTAAACATCATGCGCGATCGCGGAGACATCATCTTCGTCTCCTCCTTCCGCGACGGAATCATGAACGTCTCAAGAAATTTGAGGCCCCCTCCTAGGCCGAGGGCCCCGGCAACCGCCATGTCCGCCGTTAGGGAAATACGGCCCTGATTAGCTTAAGTCCACCAATTCTGTCATTGTGATATTCCTTGAAGAGAAAGTGATTGAAATAAACTTTGACTCACTGAACATAGGTGTGTTCGAATATATTCTTGTCTCGTAGGAAGTGCATGTTGTCCTGCCAGATCCAATCCTCCAGCTCTTTAGAAAGGGTGATTGGAGGACAGGTGGTGAGGGACTGAGTGACTGCCACCTCTTCCTTGGAGCCCCCCTCGCCGCAGCCACCTGAAGGCGTGCGCTCGTAGAACAACATGTACGCGCTGTTGGTCTTCTCAAAGCTCAGATCTCTGAACTTGTCCGTCACAGAGTCATATGTTTTACTCTACAAAAATGTTTAAATTTTACAAACATGGCCTCATGATTTGCTAACTGTCTCTGTTCAAATCTTTATAATGTACAGGCTGTTTAAATGGAATATTGGGGTTTCAACATTTTAGAATTTGTATCACATCATTATGTTCACAGTGATAAAAAACACCAAAGAAACAGTAACTGAAACAGTTGTGCTTTTTGCACAATCAAAAGGTTCAGCATCACTGGCATAAACAATAATCCAATGTTAACAAACATCTTGATTTTATAGGTAGGCCAATACGAGTTCTGGTAAAGCACCTCTAATGTCTAGTGACAAATCTATGATTTCATCTATAAAGGTTTGTGTGAGTGCTTACCTTACTCACTAAACTTCCTGAATTGAAAGTAATTGCAACATAGTTTATAAAGGGTAGGAATTAATCCAGAATCTGGAGGAACTTGCCCTTCATCATGATTTTTTCCCGAAGATGATTGGTGCTCACATTGAACACTGTTTGACTCACTCATTCATTAGATGTATCATGAATGGCTGTAAGATAAATGGAATACATAGCGATTATTATATATTCGTATGATTACATAAAACCTTTTAAAATTGGGCCATATTATTTAAATCAGTAACGGCTAAGTTACACAATGTTAGCACAGACTTGCTGCAACTTACTATCATCTCCCCACCAAAGCATTCAGCCGCTATCTGTTTAGGATCGAATGGCTTGACCTCCGCGTCATTGAACAGAAACCACTTGTCCCTGGACCTGTCTCTGATGAAGCTGTAGTAATGTCCTCCGTCAGCCGTGCCTGTGTGGACTGTCACTCCTATCAGATCATACTCGTATGAAAGAGACTCATCTTCCACATCCTTCTCCTGCTCCTTACTTTCTTGTTCCTTTTCCTCTGTGACAAAATAACTTCAACTGTACATAGTTAACACATATGTTTAACACAATGACATCTTGTAAGAAAAATAATATTAACTGTTATACTGTGGGCAATCAAACATTAATTTTCTTCCAAATATATTTTAAATCAAAATCAAATAGATTTTAAATAAAATGTGACAGTATGAATAAATACCCCTGCCGCAGCAAACCTGCAGACTTAGCAAATTTCCATTTGCCTGATTGGATTTTCAATTAAATTTATTTAAATAACATTAAGTTTAACAAGTAACTAGGTTTGCTGCTACAGGGAGTAATAAAGTGGGTTTTTTAGTAGAATATCAATAGCTTAGTACGGTATACCGGTAACAATAAGTTAATTTGCTAAGTTTGATCGATAAAATATATTCGTAAACTAGCAAACTACAGTTTATTTATTCTCCATAAGAATAGCATAGTAATTTTAAATTTACAATTTTTAAATTTTTTCCTTGACTAATAACCGTAAAAACCCCTTCAATATACTGAATTATTTGTTTTTTTAAGCTCCAAAAAATGGTACCAAGAGAAATTGGGAATTTTTTGTTTTGATCATCAGAAATGACAAAAACCAATTTTTGCCCCATAAAACCCCGTTCCCATAGTCCGAATATTCTGGTTCGTGAACTCATTCAAGTTAATCCCGCCCTAAACCTTCAAGCCAAATTTCATAAGAAACAGACAAAAATTACTCAAGTTGTTCACAAATCTATTTCCATCAAGTTTGTACCATGCTAATTTTTAGGGCTCTAAATTTTTAGATTTGCATCTATATTTATTTGGTAGAAATCTGTATCAATACCATCTGTTTTTTTAGTTTTAGTTAACAATTTCATGAACTCAAGTCAGGTGGTAATTTTGTTATTTTAGGGAACCGTTTTGTCCATAAAGTTGTGCCTTCCTGATTTTGGAGTGTGATTTGTCAATATCATTGGTTCCAAATCAGTTTATTTTCTGTGCATTTTTCATCCAAGTTTGAAAATCAATACGACATGAACTCGCTGTCAAAATTATTGTTATCACTGAAATAATGTAAATTTATTTTTACATTTCACCTGATTCAATGATTCAATCAACTGTAGGCATACCTTGATACTGTTGAGGCATCAGATGCTTTTCCACATAACCAGCCATGTCCAGCCTCAGAGGAAACGAGAAATGTGTGTTGACTTTTTCTTTTAGCATGGTAACCATATTAAAGGTGTACCTCATTGTGTTGAAACATAGAATATTTGGTAACTTCTTAAAACACGCTCTGAAACAAAAGAAAAAAATAGTTTCAATTCAACATAAAAAAACTTTTGAATTTGTCATTTCCATTTGTGTTGTTATTTCACATATCTTTATTCAAGACTGGTAGTCCAAAATGACACCATGCAACTGACCCCTACAGTCAAAGTGGCCTCAAGATTAATACACTTTCAGCCTTACATATTTGTAATGTTGTTTGTACAGCAAAATTCAGTTCATTGATGTAAGCTGCTACTCTGTATTCAATAGTAGGCCTATTCACTGCCTATGTATAACTAGAAAGTAGTAATGTGTCGGTCCCAAAATTTATCGATTCTCTATACCGATACCTATACTTTGAATTTCATTCTCAATTCTCAATACTGATACAACTATACAAATTTACTAAACATTCTATAATATGGGATTGTTTATATATTATTGTTATGTCTTTGTGTCCTCCCATAAACTAATTTTGCAGTAATGGGGTGTTAAGTAGAAAAAAGTGTATGCAGCAATGAAAAATTCTAACTAGGCAATTTAAGTTAAACTAGGGATGTGTTGATTCTCTATATCACCAATATACCTGGACATTGGTATTGGTATAAAAAAATAATCGTCAAAAGTCTATGTCAATAAGGATACCCGACACTTATCTGCAAAGATCGCACAATCGTTAAATTGCCACGACTGTGCGATGACGACGATGACGTTTCTGTGACCGCGGGAGACAATCAGCTGCATGGCTAGAGGAGATGATTAGAATTTTTCCGCAATCGCTGAAGACAACGATAATGTCTACTCAACTGTGGGAGATGATCATAAATTTGCAGCAATCGTCAAAGAAGATGATAATGTCCACACAACTGGTGGAGATATCCATGATTTTGTCACAATTGTGGAAGGCAATGATGACCTTCCCATTATCGCGGGAGGGTATTCAGGTTTTTGCATCATCGTTTCCTGTGATCGCCCCAAAATTCTGATTACCTCCCACAGACGTGTAAACATCATCATTGTCTCTCACGGTCACGGAAAAGCCATCGTCGTCATTTGTGCTCAAGGTCTGATCTTCACAAATGTGTCGAGTTCGGTATTGGCATAGAAATTTGATGATCGTTTAGCGATACCAATATCCGTGTATCGTCCGAGAATCAACACATCCTTTCGACATAATGGAGACTATATGACGTCGACCAGGACGGCCAATAGGAGGAGGCCGACGAACTTTAACTGGTAAAAGTAAAAAAGAAACAAACAAAAACTAAGAAAGAAGAGGAATGAAAACTTGCCCATGAAGGGGCTGAAAGGTTAGACCGAATCTCAATGATCCCTATCGCTCAGGGCGGTATGGGGAAGGGAGTCGTGCTGTTAGGCTTTTGGACACATAATGTGTCTGGACGAGGATTGAAAGTGGCTGAAGCCTAAAAAGAAAGATGTTTTTAACTTAAGAATTAAGTTAAACAACAATACAAAATTTTAAAAGTAGTTATATATTAGGTATCTGGTTTATGAATAAATTTCTCTTTATAAATTCTGTTTCTTAATTGAATTGAAATTATTCTTAAAGTTATTAAGTTAGTTACCTAGATTATCATGTTAGTGAGAAGGAAGAAAAGGTAAGAAAAAATAATGCTGCAGCCAACCAGTAGGAGGCTAGGCCAAATCTTTTATTGGTCTAATAAGTACTAATCATTAGTAACCATATAACTTAGAAAAATGGTGTAGCCAATAATTACTTAATTTAAAATACCTATTTAGGCCTAGGCAGGGGTTCATCCTAGACAGGGGATGAAATTTGTTTCAACAAAATGCTACAAACTCTCAGACAACTGTAGCAAAAATACTATTCTTTAAGCATTAAAAAATCCCATAATATTAGGTACATGTTTGAACCTTACATATTCAAATCTATTTCTAGCAAATTTGCTATAGCCTGCAAAAACAATGTAGCATTTTAAAGTTTGGAATAGCAAAGAGGTAAAAATGCTACCGCAGCTTAAACCCTGGGCCTAGGACTACTCACAGTAGGCCTACTCAGGGTGTCCACAGAAAATTTGTCATTAATTTCCATGTCTTTCCATGACCATTTACCACGATTTCCATGAACTTCACTCAAAAATTATAATATAACATACACACACGAATAATACTGTCAAGACAAGTTATTTCGCAGAAAATACTGAAACATGTATTAACATTAACAGATAACAATGGAGTACAATAGGTACAACAATGAACAAACACACACAACAACACACAACAAACAACTGTAAAACACAACTGTACAACTGTAATAAATTGAATTGTTGAACATTTATGAAAAATCCTGAAAAATGTAACAATATTCGGGGTTACGGCCAACTAGACTATTGAGCATTAGGGAATAGGGACCAAGCTAATTGCCCTCTCTGTTTTGTTATTAAGAGGTAAGAAAAAAAATCCATAGCAACAAAAGTATGAAGTTTACAACTCAGTAGGAATGACACAGGTAAAAATTCAACTATGATTCAAATTAAATTGTCATGGAAACAATTTAAACAAGTTGAAATTTAAAATTGAACAAAAGAAGATGTACCGGACGTGAGTCTAGTTTAATATTTTTAAAGGTTTACACACTTAGAGATTAGTTAAGTTCTAGCATTTAAACACTTTGTAAATAATTATGTCCCGAGTAAAAAATAATATACTGACGAGGTCCACCAAGGAAGAATATAACATTCCTTCCCTGTGCTGAGCTTTAATTGCTTGGATTACTCAAGCACTCAAGGTTAATATTGGTTTGGTAACCTAAATGTGGCAAGTGGGTGAGAGTCCGTTGGACTTTGTCACTCAAAACGGTTGTTGTACAGGTAGATGTCGCTGAACCATCAAGATACGAAGAGATTATCAGAGCAATACTCTTCACTTCTGCAAACCAACCATTATTTTTAGGCCCTCCTGTAAAGTTTCAATAGAAAGCTCTAAAAATACTAAATTATTTAACTTGATAAATCTTATTAAAAAAGAAAATTTTAAACCTATTTTAATCAGGATTTTTTTACATTATTTACACAACTTTGTGCTTTGAAATACTAAACCGTGAAGTATTACAGGATATAGTTTAAAGTGGTCCATTGTAATTTATTTTATGATGAGTAGGTTTTTTTTAACTAAAAACCAAATTGTTATTGGTTTGATTTATCATCAACATTTTTGATACACAGATAAAAAACACGACAAAACTTTTCATTTCCGTGATATGAATGATTATTTCAAGTGGCAGAGTACTCCTCAGTCACCCCATAATTTGGCCCGAATTCCAAATTTGTCAGGGTACCTTAGGAGGCTTTTAGACGGGAAACTATTAAAGATCGGGTAGGCAATTTATCAAGGACTGTGTCCTTTCTTTGGATTCCGCTTCAAAATCTGTGGTAGCCAGGTGCTGTTGATCAGTGGGGTGTTTGTTGTTGCATTGACTAGTGCCGGGATATCCTTGCTGGAGTGGCGCCCGGCTTGAGGAAGGCCCAATGTCAGCAAACATTCTCTGATAACACTGAATTTCGGAGTCTAGAATGACTCAGTCCCTCAGATGGTAGAGGTTTCTGTATACAGAGGGCCACTGAGCGCTGCAGTGGTGGGTGTGTAGGCTGTCTTAGGTTCTGCCCAGATTGTCTGCACATCGCTTCTACTGTTTGATCCCTCTAGGGTGCGGATATAAAAACCTATGAAATACTCCCTTAAACAGTAGGAATGATAGGCTCCCAAAGTTTAGAGTAGATCTGCGACAACTTCTCTTCTAGTGCCCCTTGACTCTGACTCTAGGGTCGTGATATGCATACAGGGATTCCCCCATCAACTTTGAAGACTAGAAGAAGAAATGAAATGACCTGTTCCATTAACTGCGACTCTACGGTTGGATCGTGATAAGCATACCATACATGGAATTCCCTCAACAATTAAAACAAAAGAGAAACAAAGAAGAATATCAGAAGAAAAAGAAGATACTGAATCAAAAAGCCATTTTAGATGATGTCCCATCAAAAGTGAAAACAACAAAGGCAAGTTTGAACAATCAAGGCAATGTACATTGAAAATCACAGGATTGAAAATAAAGACAGACTACGTAGAACACCCAAGTCTGAAGAAGACCCTGAACTCTTGTATCTAAACAAAAGGTAATTTTCTCAATAGATAAATATTAGATAAGTTGTGTTAAATAGAAGATAAGTTAGTTAATAAACTTAATTTGTTTTAATAGTCTGAAAATATCAATCTCTCACCCACTGCCAAGCTTAAAATACCTTCCATTAACAAAGGCTTAGTTTACCAATACCAATTTATATATTTCGTTACAAATTATTTATTGAACATTGTTTAGGTGTACCTACTGTAAGTGTCATAAGTTGATTTAGAAGTGTCATAAGTCTACATGACCTCAAGCTATATTACATTTAGTAACAATGTAGCCTGCTGTAGTTTAAGCATAGATAACGAGCTAGACCTGTACAGAAATAATAGCTAAAGGAAAAAAAAGGAGAATATGCACAACTAGCAACCTCAAATCTAAGCGCCCACAGGCTTAACCTGGTCCCCCTTCTACATTCTTCCCATACAGCTTTTTTTTTTATTAACGTTCATTTTGTGTCCTCGAGCTTTTTTTTATCACTTGTAATTTTAATCACACCATGTTCTTATGTATCTCTAAGTTACTTCAAGATAATTATGATCTCCATTCTGTTTTTGTTGATTATAAACATTTGTACGTTACATAAAACTTGTTTTTGTGGCTTGACTCTCTGCTCAAGCGTTTACATACATAGTTTAGGAAAATTATCAAACCTGGTTTAAGCTTTGAACTCTAATAGCGATATTATACATAGAATAGAGATTGGAAATACTGTTACTTTTCAGTAACAGTCAGGAACATTCTTTAGTATTAATTTTGGTAATAGGTGAAATAACACTATTATTTTTGTCACCTAGTATTCAGGGTGTCCACAGAAAATTTGTCATTAATTTCCATTTCTATATACATGACCAAACATTTACCATTGATTTCAATGACTCACAAACATTACTCGAAAATTGTAATATAACATACAAACACGAATAATACTGCCTAAACAAGTTATTTCACAAAAATACTGAAATATGTATTAACAGATGACAATGGAGTACAATAGGTACAACAATGAACTAGGCCTAATACAAACTCAAAACCCATAAACTAATACAACTGTAATAAATTTTATTGTCCTCCAATTGTGAAAAATGCTATAATAATAGTCGGAGTTATGGCTGACTAGAGCATTGAAAGGTCACCTCAAATCCATCCATCATTGGGGATTCCTATGACTTTCCATGACTTTAGGCCTATTTCCATGACTTTCAATGACCAGGATTTTCTCCATGACTATCCCTGACTTTCCAGAATGTGGACATCCTGCTACTTAACGCGCAATTACTCGACTCGACTCGATACTCGAGTTTTTACTCAAATTACTCGACTCGACTAGACTCGAATTGAAAAATCACTGCTCGCCCACCCAGTAGTTTGTGGTCCACTTTAGGCTCTCAGTCCATCTCTCCAGGAAAAAAAGATAGGCCTACTAAGCAAAGAAAATCACCTTTGAATCGAAAATGTCCCCATACTTGAAAGCCACCACACAAACATACATCTTTTTTTGTCATGATTTATATTAATCAAAATTTGTAATGCCTACTCAGCATATAGTTTGTAGCACTGACTAGGTACTAAAGGTTTACCTTTTCTCCGCCCTGACTTTCTTGCCACACTGAGAGCAGGTATACATGTTGTCTCCCTCCAGTGTGTCCTTGACTGTGACCTCGTCCAGACTCTCGTACAAGTTGCGCATGTCTGCTACTTGACATCTCACCGTGTAGAACTCCTCAAGTGTTCGACTCACATGATTACAGTCCTGTGCATACAATAATCTTTAAATTTCAAATAGATTAATGTATATTCTATTTTTATACACTACTATTTTAAAATTCTATTTGTATTTTTTTGGATAGTGAGGTTATACAACATAATTTTAGATATAGCTATCGACCAAGGTTGATCTACCTCCCGGTTGATATAGCCCTGGTAAATCGAGGTTATCCATTTAAAACTAATTCCTTAAAGGTAGTATAGACTAAAAGAAACTATTTTTAAGCATTAAAGGCAACAAACTCCTTACTGAGTCAGCTATAGGCATTAAAAAATCACTATCCCTTGAGAGTCTTGTTTTAGGATACCAAGGCGTTAGTAAACATAAAATTTGCATGTTTAATTTAAAATAAAATAAAATTACAAACCAAAGAGACGACATTGTTGCTGATCACACCACCAAACAAAGTTTTGACTAGCTTTTTTAACTCAGGTGTCATTTCTTCAAGCTTCGAGACCAAGTCGATGAAAAACTCAGCCATATCTTTTTGTTCTCCAGTATTCAAAGGCTGATGGTCCATTGTGTAAACTTTACAGAAACTACGAGGGTTATACGCTTTCCTCTCACTTTCCTGTAACAAATTGTACATGAACAATTTTCAATTGCATAATATATTTAAATTCTTACTATCTAGCATATTTAAAGAAGTAGCTTGCATATAAATTATTTTCAAATTGAAAGGAAAAACTCTCGCTATAGGCTAGGTGGAATTTTCATACAGACATAATGAGATGAAGGACTTTTGTAGAGTTTAAAATACTTGTTCAGGAAAGAAAACAATTTTATTTCAGAGTAATTAATGACTTAAAATTAGTTTTAACAAAAGAACAGTCCTATTAGAGATTAAACTAATTTATTTTACTAAAATACAAAAAATCCCTTAATCACTTGCACCTTTAGATTACAAAGAGAACAGATACATAGAGCAGATATTATTTTGCAAAATAAAAAATGAAGAAATTGTATGGTTATCCAAGTAGGCCTACTATGATTACTATACACAATCATTTAACAAATAAATGTTGGAATGTTCCTACACAGAAAGCTTACCAGAAGATAAGCAAACATGCGCTGCAGCTCTTTGAGGGTTTGTTGGTGTTTGGGTGTGGCTTTGTCACTATCTGCCTGCAATATCTCAGCTCGTGCCTGAGGCATCATGTACAGATGCTGCATACAAGACGCCATATAGCAGGTGGCTCCTAGGTTGGTAAGACCCACGTAGCCACACTCTGAGCGACCATCCTCATGGGGCCAGTAGTCCCACGGATATGGAGAATGGGGACCTAGGAACATATTCAAACCTCACTCGAACTATCTTTAGATGACAAGAGGTAAAGTGTTAATTTTTATTAGACTTTACTTATTGGCAATTCGGTTTATGAGGTTAAAATTGGTTTTTCCCATTTTTGACTCAAAAAACAAAATTTTTTTCAATTTATTTCCAAACCACTATGTAGAGCTTACTAAACTATTAACATTTTACAAAAACAGTAAACCTTAGTACTTGTTAAACTAATGCTATTTAAATAGGGAATAAATGTGATATTTTATAGTTTGGCCGCTTAGAAAGCGACCTCCTCCAGCATTGGTTTAGCATTAGCGCGCAGGTCGTTTCTAAGCGACCGAAATATAAGTAGACATATTAGTGTAAATCCAATCGGGGAAATGGAAATTTGCTTAGTCTGCAGGTTTGCTGCGGCGGGGGTATTTTAGCGAATTTCCCTATAGGGAAGTAGCTATTACCGTAGGTCTCATGGTAAGACCTAAGCCCGGGACCGATTTACTTTTTCATTTTGATGTCCCCAGAGGCCAAAAACACCATTCGTTCAAATTTTTATATATCTATATATAGAGATATATATATGTGTGTCCATCCGCACGATAACTTGAGTAATTTTTGTCCGATTTTGATCAAATTTGGTTTGAAGGTGTAAGGCGGGATAAACTTGAATGAGTTCGCAAACCAGCATGATCGGACCATGGGAATGGGGGTTTACGGGGGGTTTTATGGGGTAAAAATAGGGTTTTCCCATTTTTGACCCTAAAAACACAAAATTTCACAATTTATTTTCTAACCATTTTGTAGAGCTTAAAAAAACAAATAATTTAGTATATTGAAGCGTTATTATGCGCCTAATTGTTACGGAGAAAATTCAAAAAATTGTAATTTTAAAATTCCCATGTTATTCTTATGGAGAATAAGTCAACTGTTGTTGTTTGCACATATTTTGATCAAATTTGGAAAATACATTAATTTCTTACTAAAAAACAGTGCCTTTTAATATTTTACATTAAAAAAAACTTTTTTACCCTCCCTGTTGCAGCAAACCTAAGTACTCATTAAACTAATTCTGTTAAAATAGGGAATAAATGTGATATTTTTAAGGAGACATTTTAGTTTAAATCCAATCAGGCAGATGGAAATTCGCTAAGTCTGCAGGTTTGCTGCGGCGGGGCTATTTTGTCCTAGGATGCTAGGCATGAGCCCGGGATTTTTTTCACTTGTTACTTTAGGCTAGACCTAGGGGTTATGGCATTATCACTTCGATAAAATACATTGGTGATTTGGTCGGCTTGAACCCAAGACCCCAGGAACCAAATTCCCACGCTCTAACCACTAGACCAGCTCGCTCCCCCCAAGCGATGAAGCACATTACAAAATTTAGCATTGCTTAATCTAATTCTGATTTTCAGCTGAAAACTATATCAGGCCTTAAAACCCTACATAGTTTTTCAAATTTCAGTTGCTTGAATACCTATTTGCGATTAGCTAGCCCCATCCCGAAAAGAACAATCCTCTATCCCTACATACTGTAAGTTGCTTTGAGTTACCAGGCTTGTGTTGGTTGAGCAGCTTCTCATGTAGTTGCTTGTAGTTCTGTTTGGCTCCGTTGACCAGTTCCACCAGCAAGTCATAGGCAGCCGAGCGAGCAGTCTGAGACTTACACTTGGGGAAGTGTCTGTTGCTCGGGTCAGGCAGTGCAAAGAGGAAGTCAAATACCTGTAAATGAAGGAACACAGCATTGTCACTACAGTTCTAGACTTAGCTTAACCTAGCCTCTTATCCTTAACCTCATCCAGCCTTACTCAATCTATACTTTTCAGTTTTCATTTAGGTAATGGTTCTATAAGTAAGGTGTTCACAAAGAGAAACTTACGATATTGAAAGCAAAAGTTTATTAAAATATGAAATATTGGCCAATTATACCTCTCTGACTCAAACAGTAAATAATATGAAAGTTAAATGAGAATAAGGATGCATCTATGTGGCAGGGAAGCAGCTATAATGGAACTTGACATGTATCACATCCTTAAAGTTTTAAGACGAAGACGAGCTTAAGGTTTGGAAAGTTGTAAAGCTGTTTTACCAGAAATGCTCACATGTAGAGGTACAGGTAACAAAATTAAAATAAGAAGTATTTATGGTATTAACAGGTATCCAGGGCATCATTTAAACACTCAATCAAGAGATGGCTTGAAAATGACTTAAGAATGTGGGAGAATGTGGAATATGTCTATCTAACCTCTCTAAACTAGAGTTTTTGTTCTGTTCTTGAGTGTTTGAACTTTTCAAATTAAACAAAGAACCTTATGATTGGAGTGGTACAAATATTGATCCTCAATATTTATACCTGAAAACTTATTCTCAATTCTCAATACTAATAAAAAAAAATTTCAACTTTTTCTATATGGATTGGTTATACTGTTGCGGGCTTAATAGGTTCTTTACAATAAAAACTTGGCGATTTTATAATAACTATTTATTCACACTAATTATTATCTATTTACAAATATCACAATTACCTAACACCTAACTAACCCTATCTAAACCTAGCTAAAGCCTATTCTAATTTACAATGTTTCTACTTACAGCTAGCCTCTACAGGATTTATCACTTCTGTTACAACACTGTCACTACACTGTCACTAGAGTCACTACACTGTTACTCTCACTGTCACTACACTGTCACTGCCACTAGCACTAGCACTGGTCACTAACACCGACGGGCACTTGCTGCGACGATTCTCGGAAGGCTCAACTCAACTCAACTGCCGTGTGCCGGAAGACGGTCCCTTATATAAGCTTGCCGTAGAACATTCTAGAGTGGAGAGTTCGAGTATCCGTTGTTTACAAACCGGCGTGGAAGTGTAGAAGGTTCTGGAGCCCCTATTGAGGTAGTCCGTTGACATGGGTCTATTGTCTATCACTGGCGCGTTCGGAGAACCCGTGTAAACAAACAATCCTTTTGAGACGACACCTGGCTATTGTTGCGCGGGGCTCCTGACTTGTAACAATACTATACCAAACCCTGTCTTTATGTACTTACACAACTGCAAATTTTGAGTATGGGGTGTTTTTAAATAAATTAAAATTTAAAGCAGCAATGAAAAATTCTTGCTAGCCAATTCAAAAACAGAAACATCATCACTGTCTTCGGAGATCACAGTAAAACCCATCAAATCACCTGCTGTCATGGAATCATCATCATCGTCGTCCACAACCAAAACAAAATCATGACAACTTCTTCAATCATGTAGACATAATTATTATTTTCATTATGGATGTAGCCTCCGGATTGCCGAATAATATTAAAATGGTTTAAATACCTGCTATAAAGCAATCCATTTAATTGCAGTTGCAACTAGTTTCGACTCCTATGTGGAGTCATCATCAGGCGGTACAAGGACTTCTTCTTTCTTCATATGAAGAGCGTCATATTTAACACGTAAAAATAAATAAACATTTTTTGCAAGTTTTAGTTTAATGTCCTTGTATTGAAAGGCTATTTTTGCTTGCTCAGCTGATAACTTCATTGTGGATGAAAATGTTTATTTAATTTTACGTGTTAAATATGACGCTCTTCATATGAAGAAAGAAGAAGTCCTTGTACCGCCTGATGATGACTCCACATAGGAGTCGAAACTAGTTGCAACTACAATTAAATGGATTGCTTGATAGCAGGTGTTGTATTAAGTATGTTCTTTTAGTCATATGATTTATTTGTGTTTAAGTATCTTTTGTTGACAGATGATTTTTGTTTAATGATTTTTGTTTAATGATTTTTTTATAAGCTTGCCGTAGAACATTCTAGAGTGGAGAGTTCGAGTATCCGTTGTTTACAAACCGGCGTGGAAGTGTAGAAGGTTCTGGAGCCCCTATTGAGGTAGTCCGTTGACATGGGTCTATTGTCTATCACTGGCGCGTTCGGAGAACCCGTGTAAACAAACAATCCTTTTGAGACGACGCCTGGCTATTGTTGCGCGGGGCTCCTGACTTGTAACACTGCCCCCTCCTTAAGACTGTTCTGCCCCAGAACAGATTTCTCTCGAAGCTTGAGATCTTCTGGACCGACGTCTCCGGTCCCCCACGGGTTGAATACGCAGACCACAATGTCGATGCCAGTGTTCTCGAAAAGTTCCTGCACCATATTTCTTACAGTCTTCCATTCCAGTCCGTCGTAACCACATCCCAGCCTTGGAATAGCAAGCTTTTTGATTCCAATCCGAAGAAGTTTGTCTCGCAGGTCTTGCAGGCTTTTCTTCAACGATTCATAGGAGGACTTCTGGAGTGACGCTTCCTTCGTAACGAGGTAGAACAAATGCTGTCCATTGCGCTTCAGGTAAAGGGTTGTGCCAATGGCGGGTCTCTGACGCTCAAGATCTTCAGTCCCTCCGAACTTTTTCCTGAAGACTGTGGCTATACCTCGCGACGCTCTCAGGTCTTCTGCTACGCAGTGGGCCAAGGCATAATCCACTGGCAAGGTGAAAAGGTCCTTATATAACAGTTTCAATTCCGCCTTTCCACGTTTCTCGGGCACGACGCCTCTTGGTTCGGTTGAGATGTTGCGAACTTGTTGTTCATCTTGCTGGCCGTGATCTCCTTTGTAGGGTGCAAGCCTGTTGAAATGGACTATTTTGGGTTTGCCATTTGGTTGCTTCTTAATCCGGTAGATGATGTCATTTAGACGGGAAATAACTTCGTAAGGTCCTTCCCACGAGTTCTGGAGTTTTGGCGAATATCCACGACGCCTTCGGGGATTGTGTAGCCACACGAGGTCTCCAGGTGTGAACCCTCCTTTCTCGGCCTTCACGTCGTACCTCTCCTTCATCCTGTCGCTTGCTCCAGATATGTTGCGACGGACTTTCTCATGTATCTCGTCCATCCTCTTCCGCAGATCAGATACGTAGTCCTCGCCAACCACACATTCATCTGGCTTCAAGCCGTACTGCAGGTCGCATGGAAGACGGAGCTCTCGGCCGAAAACTACGTTGGCTGGAGTCTGGCCGGTGGTTTCGTTGACAAAACTCCTATACGCAAGTAGGAACAGGTGCAGGTATTGGTCCCAGTCCCGCTGATGTTCAGAGACAACTTTTGACAGATATCTTCCCATCGTCCTGTTCATGCGCTCTACCATGCCATCTGACTGTGGATGAAGAGGCGTTGTTCGAGTCTTCCGGATACCCAGAACTTCACACATTCTGGAGAATACTGCTGACTCAAAATTTCTTCCTTGGTCAGAATGAAGTTCGAGCGGGACTCCAAATCTGCTCACCAATTCCTTGATTAATATATCTGCAACTGTTACCGCTTCCTGGTTAGGCAATGCATAGGCCTCTACCCATTTGCTGAAGTAATCCATTGCAACCAAAATAAATCTATTTCCAGCATCGGACATGGGGAATGGTCCTGCTACGTCAATGGCGATGCGCTCAAACGGGGCACCTACGTTGTATTTCCTCATTGGGGCTTTTCGTTTGTTGAGAGGGCCATTTGATGCTGCGCAGGTCGCACACCTTCTGCACCAGTCTATAACGTCATCTCTCTGATTTGCCCAGTAGAAGCGCTCCCTTACTTTCACCAGTGTACGATGTACCCCTAGATGGCCTCCAGAAATTCCATCGTGAACTTCCCTTAGGACTTCAGGAACCCTCTTCTTTGGAATTAATAGCTGGAGTTTGCAGTGCCCTCCTTCCTCCGATTCGACGACTCGCTTCAAAACTCCTTCTTCCATTAAAATCGAGTTCCACTGCGCCCAGTAGGTCTTCACGTTCTTAGACAAAGGAGCAATATCCTGCCACGATGGTCTTCCTTTATTGTCCATCTTCCATTGCATAACGTGTCTTAGGTCGGGGTCTTCCTTCTGGTCCTCTGACAGTCTCTTACTATCCCAATCGTCGTCAACGGCGGTCACACGATGAACCGATGCACTTTTGTCTTCCTTGCGTGTGCAGTGCGCGCAGCTGTCCCCGCATGGTCTTCTAGATAGTGCATCTGCATTCCTGTGGCTTGGCCCCGCACGATGGATTGATTCGAAGTCATACTCCTGTAATCTTTCTAACCATCTCGCAACCTGTCCTTCAGGAGACTTGAATCTCAGCAACCACATCAGTGCGGCATGGTCGGTTCTCAGGAGAAACCTTCTTCCATACAGGTACTTATGGAAGTGTTCTATGGACTTAACCACTGCGAGAAGCTCCCTCCTGGTGACACAGTAATTACGCTCAGGCGCTGACAGGACCTTACTGAAGTATCCGATCACATGTTCTTCTCCGTCCTGAAGCTGAGAAAGGACTCCCCCAATTGCTGTATTACTGGCATCCGTGTCAAGTATGAACTTTCCGTCTGATCGTGGATAGCTCAATATGGGTGCGCTGCATAATTTGGTCTTCAGCTCTTCAAACGCCTTCTCGCAGTCGTTATCCCAAACAAAGGTCCTCTTGTCTTCGGTCAACTTGGTTAGTGGTTTGGCAATATTAGCAAATCCTTTAACAAATTTCCTGTAGTAGGCGCACAGCCCAAGGAAGCTCCTAACTTGGTGTTTATCCTGAGGTATTGGCCAATCAGTGATAGCTCTGATCTTCTCCGGGTCCACAGATACTCCTTTGTCTGATACAACATGGCCGAGGTAATTGACCTGTTTGCGGAACAAGTTGCACTTCTTGGGATTCAACTTGAGATTAGCCATCCGAAGTCGCATGAAGACATTTTCCAGGTTCTTCA